GCCCCGCACAGAACACAACACATGTGGTGCAGTTTCCAGGCTGGCCGTAGGGCTGGGGTCGCAGGGCAGTAAACTAAACAAAACATAAATCTAAAGGGAAACTTGACAGGGGACCAAGAAATGGAGATAAAACAGAAGCTTAGAGATGGGACAGCAAACCCAACATTCCACAAAGAACAGGAACTGTGTAAAGGCAGATTTGTATGGAACAATGCTTTTTCATGGTATGACACTACTAACTTGAGGTACACTGCCCATTACCTCTCCCCTTGCTAAAAATCAGTGAATCAGCATTAAAACAGGCCAACCAAGCATCTGAGTGCCTAGGGCTTGACAGATAGGCTGGTAAGTCAGATCTATGGGTTCTGAGTAAAAGGGCAACAGAGTGGTGGCAATAAATAGTGTAAATGGCCACAGAGAGCCAGAATTCTGGCAGCATGAATTTCTGGTCACATCCTGTACAACCCACTGGATGAATTCTGGGACACTGTGAGCATGTTCAGTGTTGAGAACAAAGCCAGCATACATGTAGGGTGTAAGTGTGATACTCATGCCTTCAAATGTGATGGTACTGCTTAAGTAATTGCCCTGCAACTCAACCCATAGCAAACCATTCCAACTATTGCCTCCAGTTTGTCAACTTTCATCTCCAGCTTGGCACACATAGCACCTCCCAGTTGCATCCATATTCTTCAGCAAGATTTAGCCATTGACACAGTCCCATATGAAGATGGAATGACACCCTAGAGCCAGATATGCATTACTGCAGATGGCAGCCTGCTGCACTTGTGATTAAAATTGTCTGGCCATGTGATGGAATGCAGTATTACAATACAGTTCAGTGCATGCTTCACTGAAATGTTCACTGACACACTATGCAAGCACTCTACCTGATATCTGATGTGCTTTGGAACCATTTTGTCCTATGATAGGGTGTCAATCACTGCCACATGCACCTTTCAATGTTAAAAAACAGCTCTTGCCAGCCATGGCTACAATCTGACACACATTTACATCACTCTATTCATGGCATGTCCCAAATTTGGAGGTTAACTAACCATGTTCAACCAATTTTGCAATTGTGCCCAGCTGAACACGAATTCAGAGCTGTGAGACAGCATTTGTATCGCTGCAACCAGGTACCAATACTTTGTTAGGAAACTTTGGTCTGTGCATGCTGGTACGGGTTAATCATCTCCTTCATTTGAATAAGCCGAAAATACGCAGTCACTGCAGTAGTCGTCAATGCTTGGCTCGTTCCTCATTCAAGAACTGATCTCATTCTATAGACCTGCCAGCTCAGCAAGGATCACCGTAAGCGACGGTAAAGAGCAGTTAGACATGGCGCGTGCGAAGGCGGACGTGTTCGTCCCATTGTAGTAAATGGGCCAACTGGTATCCACCGGTTTCGAACCAAACACAACACCAAAATTTGTATGCCAAGTACAAAAAGCTTTCTGTTCACATCACACGCATAAAAAACAACATTATCATGCTTTACATATCCGCGAAGTCCACTTACGCCACGCGAACACCCCCGTACTATTCGCGCGGTCTTGTTCCTGTTGTAGCGCCGTGCTTAGCTACAGACGCGTTGTTTTTGTATAAATTATGGGCTGGCATATAGGGGCGCATATCTTAGGAAAAACCTTTGCCATGCTATGTATTTGTGCTGGATTTTTCAGAAAATAAGTGAGGTTATCATCTATTAGTGAGTTTTACACATTTTTTAAACCAAAAATGCACGTTGGTAGGAAGTTTGAAGCTTTATTGGACACCACATTAATGATAAATATTGCGAAAAGCTGTCGTTTGATTGTTTTAATAATATTTGTTTCATCTTTTGGTGTTGAGGGCAGTACCATCTCAGCATCTGTTGACGGCGTTCGCCTGACGAAAATCTGTGGGATCCGAAGGTGGATGCTAAGTGTTCCGATGATCGTGGCGAGGCTGGTCACAGCCAGGAAGCCGTGAGAAGGTCAGTGAGCTCTGCCTTACCTTATTATTCGCGTTATCTTACCGTAAAGGTGAATTCTAGGGACTGGAGGGAGGTCTGGGCGCCTGTAAACTCTGGCCGCGGTCTGAACTCTTGATAAAATAAGGAGCTCCTGGGAGTGTGCAACGTCATTGTTGTGTTAGAGGCCAGATTTTTGAATGGCCGTTAGAAGTTTGTAACAAGCTGTAATGCTCTCCTACACTGAGGCCTTGCATAGCTGCTGATATGCCCTTGCCTTACTTATATTGCCAGTGGCATATTCAGGGGAGTTGTGGAGGCATGCACCCCTTATCAGTTTTTGTGGGCATTTGAAATGAATGTACCTAGGTTGAGTTAAGAGACAGGCAAATCATTGTCAAACAGAGATATATGCTAAAGTACCTACACACATTAAATTGGGCAGATGGAAACAATGTGGTGTGATAAGTAACATAATGAAGGTTAGGGCCAAAATTGTGTATCAGCAAACAATTTTGAGTTTGCCCCTGTTGTAAAATTCTAAATATGCCCCTGAACATGTTTTGTATCACATGGCAAAGCAGAGATGGTCAGCTATAGCAGTGGCTAGGATGGTCATGGGATATCATGGGATCATTTGCCTCAACCATGTAAACCACCAGTAACTTCAGGTTTCCAGTTGATCAGTAATTGGTAGCAATTCCACACATTCTAGTAACTTTTTTGTAGGAAATTAAAACAGAACTGTCACAGTGCTGCTGAGATAGGTACTGTGCCACCATGCCTCTTACATTCTGCTGCTTATTTTGGAAGGTTTAGGAAATACAGCTGAGGGAGTTTGTGCCAAATGAATATTTCTATATTGTCCTATATGACAGTGACATCACTTATGATCACATGATCATTGACAAGTTTTATTACCCATGTTCATAACTTGATGTATTTTGTGTTAATTGCTCTTCAAAGCAGCATAACATTTTCAACCTAGAATAACCAACAGTGTTTAGGATAGAAATATGCAGGGGAGAAGGTTGTGATCCTGCTACACAAGGGCTAAGGACCTGACATGGACCAATTGGTGATGCATGGAAACAGACAGCATCAGAGGAGTACTGTGCCCTCAAACTCTGGTAATGCAGCAGTTAACATGTCTGTGTTAACCCATGCACTGTGGGTGAAAGAATCAGAAGTACAGGGTTTGATTCCACACTGTTCCTGCCCTTCCTGGCAGGGTGAGGGGCAGGTGATACTATACAGCCTCAGGAGCTGAGTGAATCACAAAACCCCAGTGGCACAAGTGGTATTGGAAAGTCTCCAAGTGTGTGTGTGTGTGTGTGTGTGCATTGGAAGGGGGTAATGTCTTTTCGGCCATTTCTTTCCTGTCAATTCCAATTTGGCCACTTATGAAATTTCAGAAAGTTTTGAGCTGAGCTCTCCTTGCTGCCACTCAGTGTCCTACCCCCCTTTCCAGCCCCTTCGCCAGCACCATGTCAACAGTGGAGGAGGAGGATGGCCTGGTCATCCGTGAGCAGTTCTCCTACTTCACCAAGCCCAAGGTGCAGTGCCGCATCACCATCACGCAGTCGGCCGTGTCAGTGGAGAACCTCAGCACGCGCCTGCTGGAGCGCATCGATGCCACCGACATCATCGGCTGCCACTGCATGCGGCCCAAGGGCGCGCCGGGCCACGCCGCCGACGACGCGCCCCGCCCCACCGCCGAGTTCCGCGGCACGCAGCCTCGCGAGCTCGACGCCTACATCTGCATCTATGCCTACACGTGCAAGAAGCGCTCGGACGGCGCGGCGGCGCACTTTAAGCGGCGCAGCCACATCTTCCGCGTGGGCAAGAAGGCCACGTACGAGGCGAACCTGCGCCTGGCCGCCTTCTGGCGCACGCTGGTGCTGTGCGTGGCTCGCGGCGTGCGGCTGTCGAAGGCGACGCTGGCGCAGGCAGGTACGTGCGGCGGTGGGGGAGGTCACTCAATATGTGGCCTCGTGTGGCTTGCCGATCTGGATGACGTACGGAGGCGCGTGACCTACCGGCCCGGGTGACCTACCGACCCAGTGACCCACCGAGCGGGAGAACCTACCGATCCGGGTGACCTACCGACCAGAGTGACCTACCGGCCCGGGTGACCTACCGACTGAGATGACCTACCGACCTGGGTGTCCTACTGACCCGGGTGACCTACCGACCGGGCCCCACCATCCGGTGGTGGGGCAGGGTCGGGGTTAGGTGTAGGGCTCGCAGTCGGCAAGAGGGATAACCTGGTCCTAAACTGACCGCAGTTTAGGACCAGGTCACCCGTGGTAGGACCAGTCACGTGATCACGTGGTGGTCGACCGGAAAGTATTCAGCCTCTCGGTAGGCGTCACGTGACTAAGGTTGTCGGTTCACCGGAAAGCCTACATTATCATCAGGATCTCGGTGTCTTGGACGGAAGCAGTGGATTGTTCGGCAGTGTAGGTCGTTTGGCGGACGCGTTGAACAGCCTGGCAGGTTGTCTTTGTGCTTCTGCGGCTCTGAGAGGCCGGGGACAACTACGCCGTCCGCTTCCATGACGGCAATCCCGTTCTCGAGGTCGACCTGTGCCTCGTAGATCTGGTTGCTGTAGACGATGATTGATTGTGTTGGGGTTCTCAGCCCGGACTCAGGGTCCTTGTGGGCCTCCCAAAGACGCGTGCGGCTCGCCATGCGGCATGTCGTCAGCTTGTTGGCAGAGAGTTGCCTGAACCGTCTTAGTGCTTTGGTGACTGCTACGTTCTGTAGTGTTTGGCCGCTTGTCTTTGTGTCCGCTTCCAGTAAGTCATACTTGAGGGAGGCCCCTGTAGGCGGCACAGGCCTCGTCTTTGTAGGTCCGTAGGTCTTTCAATGGCATTGGCCCCAGGCGATGTGGAGGAGCAGGCGAAGGTGAGGGTAATCGTGCCATTTAGGTCAGCCTGCCGCTCCCGCCGGTGGGTTACGGGACAGTGCACTGACAGACGGAACGGACTAGTGCTCTGCCTACTCTGCTCTACTGAGGTGGAGAGGACCACCGTTCCGTTCTGGTGCTGTTGAGTAGGCGAAACGGATCACCGTTCCACCTACCCCGTCATAGGGGGCTTAGCGTGCTGTGTCGCAAAGTTGTGCTGAGTGCAATCCAGCTGAAATTCGCTTTGGTGAAGGCACTTGTTCCGGAAGGTGTATCTAGTTATATGTCAGACACCTCGTTGAATGATATTCGCGCAAAATGAACTTTTCCTCATAAAGACGTGTTTTCAAGTCCCTGAAGCACGTGCTAGCGTTTTTGCGATCAAGTGGTTCTGTAAGAGGCTTATTATTGCTGTGCTCACATCGTCAATAAGTTCCAGTGATTTGGTACAGTGCGCTCAATGTTGTACGGTCTGTATAAACCCGTGCTGACGCCCCACGACGCCGCAAGCACCGCTCCACTTTGGCCCGAGTGCTGACTGGGCGCCGCACGGGTCGACGGCGGTTCGTGATCTGGCCGTATTATTAGAGGCTGTCCAGACTGAGGAAATTTCTCGACATCAAGTCTCCTGCAAGATTGGGATTGGGCTTCCCCACTTTCTGCAGGCGCTGCAGCCTGTGGCTTCTGATGGAATGCACCTGAGTGTGCTGTGGCTGCCTTTTCTTCTGACGCCCCCGGTCAAACGGATCGCCACACGCCATCACAGCTGCAGCAAACCTTTTCGCTTTGTTATGTTGCACCAGTAGCTCATTTTGTGATTATATCCCCGATATCGCACTTTTACGAACGCCTCATCTTTGTGCCAGGACAGCACGCAACTGGTCCTTAATTGGTTTCACTTTACGTTTGTAGGTGATATTTCCGTGATGGCAAACACTTAAGCCGATTAAGGAGCAGCTCGTTTTTATCACGCCTGTATCGGCTCCCTGACTCCCTGCAGGGTTCTGACAGATACGACTCTGTTGTCCAGTTTGCTTGTTAGAATGGAACATCCGGCCAAGTATGGCTGCTTTGTTGTTGCCAAGCACACTCGTTCTAGTGATCGTACCGTTTGTATGTAACCAGTATGAACACTGAACACCGAACAGGTCACCCGCGCGTGATTCAGTTCATCCCTGTCACGCCCTTTGCCAGGAGCTGCCCCTCCCTTTCTCTCCCGCGCCGCCTCAGACCGCCTCAGGCACCCGACGTTAGAGGGACGGGACGCTTGCCTGGGCGAGCGCCTCCCTAACGCCCCCCCCCCCCCCCCCACCGGCCTCAGCGCGCGCGTGTTCCCCGCTCGCTGTTTCAGCCGGTGTGGATACCGATCGCAGGGAGCCTTGCCACTGCCTCTGCTATTGGTGCTGGTGCAGTTGTACTCGCGAATAAAAAAGAACAGCATGGGGCAACTCAACAGTGGAGGGGGGGGGGGGGGGGCAGCAGGGCCTGCACACAGGAATACAAAAAAATGTGTGGCGTTTTGTAGACGGCACATTCAGCACGCTATGTCGCCTCTCGTCACGTATTTATCGACTGCGTTCGCCAAGATGTGACATGAATCATCAAGAATGCCCGGAACCACATCAGGCCCGCGGCTCGCCAGTTCGGTTTACCGTCGTCTGGCCCATTCGAATGTGTTTTGCGTCGCTGCAGCGTCAGCTGTCGGCGTCTGGGCCTGGCATCCGCCGCGTGAGCCTCAGCCTTTTCGCGCTTTGAACGGTTTACGCTTCCCGTGGTAAATGATGCGGGAGGTGAAACTGTGGTGATGTTTCAATGCCGCTGGGAAATCCCGTCTGGTCTGACAGACGGCATGCAGATATATTAAAGATAATATGACACAAGTTTCAAAGAATTGTGCCACCTGTCCCAGCAAACTTTGAAATTACGACCAGCAGATACAGGAACATTTATGTAAACCATGAAAAGACAGTATAGCCTTATTCCTCGGAGAAAAACCAGGAGAATGGAGATATAGTTGCTTTGATATTTCGGCAACACGTCTTTATTGAAATGAATAGCAGAAGCCATAGTTAGCAGAATGACAGAAGCTTAGGCACAAGCGTTTCGATAAAGGCATGTTTCCGAAATATCAGCACATCTTTGTTTCTATTCTCCTGGTTTTTCTCCGGGGGAGGGGGGGGGGGGCTATTAGGCTATTTGTACTGTCTTTTCTGTGTGCATAATGTTCCTCGGAAATGCTCTCAACAACTCACGTAATTTTAAACCGTGACAGTTTGTCACAGTTTAAAAGTCCGTCAGAAAAAGCCAGGCTTAGCTTGGGTTACCGAATTTCCCAGTCACGTGACTAACACCAACCGAGCCCCCGGTCACGTCGCCAATCGCGACGCATGCGTGACTACGATCGCACGCGCCGCCGCGTCAAGCTCAGCTGTTTGCTATAATTGCTCGGGCCGTGGCGAAATGCGACTCAAATGCGCACATCGAATCGTCGCTAGAGCTCGGCGGTCACGCTGTTGCAGCTACGTAACATGATTGGTTTCGAAAGTGCGCGCCAAGTGTGAGCTGCCATGACGCGGTGCTAAGAGCTGTCGCCAGCGTAACGGCCAGACGTACACTGTGTGGCAGCCAGTGCCCGTGCGTCTGTAGATGTTTGTGTGCTTGGATCTGATTACGGCAGCTGTTGTGGTCTGCCTGTCTTCGTAGCGATCTTTCCACACCATTCAGTCGGCGGCATGTTCTCCCCTTCAAGGATTGCTCGGCTGCTGCCGGTCCGCACAACTCTCCGTTGCGTTTGAAGGTCCTGGTTGTCTTTGTAGTCTTTGTTTATCCACTTGATTCGGCCTGGGTAACGCCTGTGTTCCCTTTTAGCCCGTTTTCGCGCAGCGCTTTTTGTAGTTCTAGCTCCTGTCTTTTTGTAGCGTCAGCGTGTGCTGTTGCTAGTGTTTCAGCCTACTTCCTGTGTATTTGCATGCATTCTTTTCATATTGATGACAACCGTGTGTCATTGCAGCTCCTGTTTGTACCCCTGATGCTCGTTTTATGCCTCCTTTTTGCCCACACAGCTTCTGCTTGTTTGCGTTTGCTTCTGCTTGTGCGCGTGCCCCAGTCGTGGGCTGGTGTCGGCGGACGCCTTTGAACGGCGGCGACACGTGAGCCCGCACGCGAACCGTTTGTAGGGTGTGACCTCCTGTCCTGACCTCGTGACCTCCTGTCGCGGCAGCGTGTGATGTGCTGACCCCTTGTTCCAGCGCACGTGGCAGACCTGATACCGTCCCGGAAGCCCATGCTGATCCTCATCAACCCCAAGTCGGGGCCGGGTCACGCGCTGCAGGTCAGTGCTGCGTGAAGTTCCGCTCGTTAACCTTCTGAAGTCGCGCGGTGACGGTCTAGTTGTCCGGTAACGGTCTCTGTTCTTGCGAAATGTAGGTCCACTGTCTGGAAGTTAAATGGCCTCACCTTCAAGCTGTTCAAAATGCGCTTGGACGAAGTGCGGGAGTGTAAGCGCGGGATAATCCGACCAGCGTCTTCCTCAGCTCTGGTCGCGTCCGTGGACGCAACTGAAGGCAGCTTAAGCCAAAGTATACTGTACTTCCGTAATTTAGAACAAATAATCGTTTTTGACAGCATCAGCACAGAGCGCACAGAGCAGCACAACACAGGAGTTTTTGACAGCACCAGCGCAGCAGCGCTCTGTGTGCGGCACAGAGCGCTGCCACTGAGTGCTGTGCTACAGAGTACTTGTATTGATGAAACATAACCATGTCTCCGAATACAGGTCTTGAGCGCACAGCAAACCCCTGCAGTAACTATTTTAAGTAAGGTACGCGCTGTGGCGTTACATGCCGCCCCCAGTCTGGTGCGCCCGCCCTCTGGAGGCCTGTCGGAGCCTGACGTCAGACGGGGCGCCGGCCACACCCCTCCGCTCCAAACAAACAGAGCGTCGCGCCGGCCGGCCGGGCGCAGCCCCCTCGGCCGCCGGTGTCGGCGGCGGTCGCGGTGCGGCGGCCGGCCCGGAGAGGGCTGCACGCCCGGCCCCTGGGAGCTGCGACGGCCGGTTCTGGGAGGGTGCCAGCGCCGGCCGATCGAGCGGCGACTGACGTCTGGTACAGGATCGGCCAATCGTGTCGTCGGAGCCGGAAGACGAGCCCGCGGCCGAGTCTAGTGCACGCGAGCCTCATGCCGTGGATCTTGGTGCAAGCTGAGACGTACAGCGGAATGATGGCAGGGTGTTTTCGCTTTCACTAAAGATTGCGCGTTTTTTTCGTAGAACGAACAGAGTTGTTTAATCTAATGTGTGTGGTGGATATCCCACCCTCAACCAACCAGTCGCAACTCTGGATTATCGCTGTATTTTTACGCCTTGCCTTTAACTAGAGCGCTGTTGTTTATGCTGCCATTATAACGAAAGTGCCGGATGTGGCAATCACCTCCCATTGACCCATGGCTTGGCCCTTTTCGGAATTACTGCTTTGTGAAACGAACACAGAAAGCGGAGCGAAAGATAACGAGTGAATCATTGGAGCATGTTACAACTTTTGACACGTCGTGAACAAAAAAGTGTCGGTTGGCTTACTCCTTTTGAGGATGTTGCTATATATTTATTACCTGATATAATTTCATGTTATCTTACAAGAGAACGATTGTTAACAGCTTCGTACTCGCGTGCTGGTAGCAGCGAAGTCGTATAGCGGGGAATCATCCAGCTTGTGGTTGCCGGTGCTTGGATTGCGTCGAATCCTGTCCGTGGCTGATTATCAACACAGCCGACCTGGCCAGTGCAGCTACGAAGCGGGATCAGCGCGTGATGCTCAGTTGGGCGGGCCCGGCTTCTGCCGCGGAGGCTGAGCGTCGCAGCTCCGGCCGAGCCGGCGCGCCGTCCGACGACGCGGCGCGATCGTGCGACGCTGCTCGGCGCCCCTCCCCCCCTCCCCCCTCCGGCCCCGGCCCCGAAGGACGCCACCGCCGGCGTGGTGTCGCCCCTCCCCCCTGGGGGTGTGGCCGGGCCCGGTCCCGCGGTGGCCGGCGACGGAGCCGAGCGCGAACGTGCGCACGCTCGGCTGGTCCGCCACCGCGTAGCTCTCGCCGCCGCCCGCGCTCGCGCAGAGCGAGCATGCACCCAGACGAGATGGTCACGCACGACGTTCTCTGCGGGGGGGGCGGGGGAGCGTAACGTGCGGTCGGGATGGCGCCGCGCCACTGGTGTGGAGGCCCCGGCGAGCGTCGCGCGTGACAGACAGTATTTCAGTATATAGACAGTTTCAGTATATATATGTATACTACTATATTTATGACAGTATATTTTGACAGTATTTCGTTCACTAGCATGCGTGGGGCGGTGAGGGCAGACGCCGATGAGGCACGGCTGCGTGAAGGGGTGTGGCGACACACAAACCGGGGAGCGGAAGGGGGGGGGGGCAGTCTGGCCGTCGGCACGAGCTGGAAGACCCCAGCGCTCGGGTGAATGAGCGCAGCCGGGAAGCTGCCTCTTCGTCCTCCAGCGTCGGGGCGCGACCTCGCAGGGTGTGAACACTGTCCAGATCACTTCTTTCCAGTGGAGACGAGGTGTTGCGATGTTCCCAGAGACGCCGTGACAGCTGCGTTACACTCAGAAGTCGGCGGCTCAGCGAACCGCCAGCCGGGGTCTGTTTGTTTTCGTACCGGCTCTGGCAGCGGCATGGTTTCCGCGTTACGGTAGGCCGACAGACCGCGTCGCTAATGAGCTCGGAGGTCCCGTGCGTGAGCGTAATTAAGCTGACAGGAAGGAGAGCACCCCACGGTCCGTCGGTCTCTGCACGGAGTTGTACCCCCTCCCCCCGCCCCCTCCCCTCCCGCCTCCCACTTGAGCCGCTACAGTCGTACCTGCAGCGGCGCAGCGGCCCCGCTATCGTCGGTGTCGGATACTGAAGTGAAGGGCTGGCGGCCGCCGGCACTCGACGCGATGGGTGTGTGTGGGGGCGGATAAAGTCCGCACTGGCAACAGTTGTTGTCATGGCAACCCAGCTTCTTGGATCAGAGGCGAGCCGAGACGTCGATAAAGCGGGGAGAGGACGTTAGCTCTGATCGACCACCGCGCTTAGCGGAAGAAAAGGCAGCGAATGTAAAGCACGAAATGTCGCGCTACGCTCGTCGGGCGCAGAGTTCGTCTTGCAGTTCTGCTTTTCAGGGGAGGCATGCATCTAACGCCATGCGACGCGTACCTTCCATGTGTGACAGGTGCTCCAAAACACCCTATGTCAGTCATGTCGAGACCCCCGTTCGCCACGTTCTTCGATAGTCTGTCACGTGACTATCCGCCCTCTGTTATAGGTGTTCCTGCAGCTATTTCTGCCGATTCTCCCCGGATCGAGGCATGATGATGGCGTCACTCATCCCCCAGGTGTTTCCCAGGTGCTTTACCGGCGCGTGGCGCCGATCCTTTCCAAGTCGGACGTCCTTGTGACGCGGTGGATGACGTCACTTATCCCCCGTGCGTCCCCAGGTGTTCCGGCAGCGCGTGCTGCCGATCCTGTCCGAGTCGGACGTGGCGCATGACGTGGTGGTGACGTCACGGGCCGGCGAGGCGCGCCAGCTGGCGGCCGAACAGGACCTCGGCCAATGGTCGGCCGTGGTCATCGTGTCGGGCGACGGCCTCCTGTACGAGGTAACGCGGGTCACGTGGCCGTTGCGGCTCCGGTACGGGGGTCGGCGCCGGCAGACCGCCGTACGCGGGATTTCGTAGAAGCGGCGAACGGGAACGACATGCGAGGCGCCCTGGCCATGGCCTTGTCTGGGCTAGTTTGGCGGAAGATGTGTTCCGGTTTGTTGTTTCCCGGAGTCCTAAGCTCAGTGGGATGATCTCGTGACGTCATTTGCTTCGTCTCTGTTGATTCTACGATTGTGCGATACGCACGTTGTCAATGATTCTGATGCGTTGCAGTTTTGACGCCTTTCACTCCGGTGATTGCATCGGCACCACACCCAACACAGTCCCTTCCGGCGACCCCCAGCCGACGCTCTGTCGCGCCGCGCCGCCGCCCGAGGTTGTCACGCTACCCCTTGCTGTCCCGGCAGGTGTACAACGGCATCATGAGCCGGCCCGACTGGGACGCCTGGGTGGACTTCCCCGTGGCGCTGGTGCCGGCCGGCTCCGGCAACGGCATGGCCGCCTCCGTGGCACACGCCTGCGGACTGCTGTCAGTGTCACCGGTGGCGCGCTCTCTGTGGAGGGCAGAGGGGTGGGCGGGGGGTGGGAGTCGGGGGCGCGACAGCGGCTCTCGCTCTCTCGCTTTCTCACCCTCTCGCCTTCTCACTCTCTCGCTCTCTTGCTCTTTCTCTCTCTCCCCTTTCTCTCTGCCCCTCTTTCTCTCTCTCCCCTCTCTCTCTCTCTCTCTCTGTCCCTCTTTCTCTCTCCCCTCTCTCTCTCTCTCTCTTCTCTCTCTGTCCTCTCTCTCTCTCTGTCCTCTCTCTCTCTCTCTGTCCTCTGTCTCTCTCTCTGTCCTCTCTCTCTCTGTCCTCTCTCTCTCTCTCTGTCCTCTCTCTCTCTCTCTGTCCTCTCTCTCTCTCTCTCGTCTCTCTCTCTGTCCTCTCTCTCTTTCTCTCTCTCTCTCTCTCTTTCTCTCTTTCTCTCTTTCTCTCTCTCTCTCTCTCTCTCTCTCTCTCTCTCTCTCTCTCTCTCTCTCTCTCTCTCTCTCTCCTCTCTCTCTCTCTCTCTCTCTCTCTCTCTCTCTCTCTCCTTCTCTCTCTGTCTCTGTCTGTCTCTCTGTCTCTGTCTCTCTCGTCTCTGGTCTTGTCTCTGTCTCTCTCTCTGTCTCTGTCTCTCCGTCTCGTCTCTGTCTCTGTCTTTCTCTGTTCCTGCTCTCTCTGTCTTGTCTCTGTCTCGTCTTGTCTCGTCTCTGTCTCTGTCTCTGTCTCTGTCTCTGTCTCTGTCTCTGTCTCTGTCTGTCCCTCTGTTCTGTCTCTGTCTCCTGTCTCTGTCCTGTTTTGTCGTCTCTGTCTGTCTTCTCTGTCTCTGTCTCTGTCTCTGTCTCTGTCTCTGTCTCTGTCTCTGTCTCTGTCTCTGTCTCTGTCTCTGTCTCTGTCTCTGTCTCTGTCTCTCTCGCTCGCTTGCTCTTGCTCTTGCTCTTGCTCTTGCTCTTACTCTTGTCCGCGTGCTCTGCACGAGGGTCGTGGGAGCGGGGCGCTGTGTTGCGGTCACGTGGCGCCCCCATTTCTTTACGACACTTGAGTGGGCGAGCGATGTCGTGTTCTCTGGTGGGCGAGCTCTGTCGCCATCACTGGCCAGGCCCTGCCGCTCTCAGAAGAGGGACGGCTGTTCTGTCTGGTCGCGTTCGGGGTCAGGTACCCCTGTCCTGTATCCGGACTGTTAGCTCGGCACCTGCTCCTCTTGGGGCGCGACGGCAGACGTGCCATCGTCGCGCAGACTCGGTACCCGCGTGTCAGCGTGGCGGGCGGGCTGGGGTCGTCTGACGTGGCGCGGCCCTAAGCTCAGTGACCGTTCCAGCCCGGCTTTCCTGCAGAACCCGGTGCTGACGTCATCACTGGGCCTCGCCAAGCGGCTGGAGCTCGCCATGGACCTGATGATGGTACAAACCGAGACCGAGGTGCGTCCGCCCCGCCGTGGCTCTGCAAGGAATGGAAGCGCCTCTGCTTGGTGAAGTGGATTGGTTGCTGAGTTTGAGCGACGCTGATTCTGGCTGGTCAGGCAGCCTGCGTCGCGAAAATGTAGGGCACTAAAGTGCACTTGGAGTGGTAAAAGGCGGATGAACAACTTTACTCATTCTTGGCCCTAAGTTTTGCCCTCAAAGGAGCCATCTATCGGCTCTTCGTCGGCACATTCCTGAGTTCAGCATCACGCTGGTACTATTGCACGTTTTGGCTGCTGTTGGTATGCAATTAGGCGTCAAAGGCGGACGGGGTCAGAGTCATCAGATCAGGGCCAGTCACCGTGACACTAGCCTCTGACCTACACAGCCAGTGATCATGATCTCTGCCTCTCACCTGAACAGCCAGCGACCGTGACCCAGTCCTGACCTACGCAGCCAGTAGCCGTGACCCCAGCCTCCGACCTATGCAGCCAGTGATCAGGACCTCTGCCTCTCACCTGTACAGCCAGCGACCGTCACCCAGCCTCTGACCTATGAAGCCAGTAGGCGTGGCCCCAGCCTCTGTCCTGCACAGCCAAAGACCCAGCCTCTGTCCCTAGCCAGTAGGCATGACCCCAGCCTCTGACCTACACAACCAAAGGCCATGTCTAAACTCTGACCTGACCAGCCAGAAGTGATGACCACGGCCTCTGACCTGCACGGCTAATGACCGTGGTACCAGCCTCTGAACTGCACAGTTAGTGACCGTGACCCCAGCCCCTGACCTACACAGCCAAAGACCCAGCCTCTGACCTGTGCAGCAGCAGGTGTGACCCCTGCCTCTGACTTGCACAGCCAGTGACCGTGACCTAGCCTCTGACGTGGCATCCAGAGGCTCTGACACCACAGGCATTGACCAGCACAGCCAGTGACCGTGACCCCAGCCTGTGACCTCAGAGGCGGTGACCCAGCCTGTGACCTGCGCCGTCAGGAGCTGGTCGGCTTCCTCTCTCTCGGCTGGGGCCTGCTGGCCGACATCGACATCGAGAGTGAGCGGCTGCGGGTGCTGGGCGGCGCGCGCTTCTCGCTGTGGGCCGCCGCCCGTGTGCTCAGTAAGTGCCGAGGGACGTGGGCCGGGGTCACCGGCGGTCGGCACAGCTATAGCCATGGTGCTTGATATGGCTGTGAGCGAGCCGGCCCGGCCGTGGGGTCTCAGGAGGCGGGCCGCCCGCAGGCTCCCTAGCGTGACCTGGGCGTGACGTTGGTGTGTGGGATGTTGGGCCAGCAAGGTGGTCGCATTAGGCGAGGGAGCAGCGTTGCCTATGGGCGTGGAGCTCCCGGTGCTCGTCCACAGCTGGTGTGTGTGTGTGTGTGTGTGTGTGTGTGTGTGTGTGTGTGTGTGTGTGTGTGTGTGTGTGGTGTGTGTGTGTGTGTGTGTGTGTGTGTGTGTGTGTGTGTGTGTGTGTGTGTGTGTGTGTGCGTGCGTGCGTGCGTGCGTGCGTGCGTGCGTGCGTGCGTGCGTGCGTGCGTGCGGGCGTGCGGGCGTGCGTGCGTGCGTGCGTGCGTGCGTGCGTGCGTGCGTGCGTGCGTGCGTGCGTGCGTGCGTGCGTGTGTGGGGGGGGGGGGGGCGCCGTGCCAACCGGGCCATGGCCGGCGCTACCGTCTCTGTTATTGGCCGGTGCCAGAGCTCGTCCGACAACCAGCCCCCAGTTGCTATCATACCGCTGTGACAGCGGATTGTCTACTGTCGCACGTCCGGATCGACGGCACCGGCTGTGACGTCACTTCACATTAATGACGTCACCTGCGCGCGTCAGTGACGCCGTCCGCGGTTCCGACAGCGCTGAGGACGTACAGAGGCCGCATCCATTACCTGTCCGGTCAGGAGGAGGTGGTCCGGCCCGGCGACGAGCGGCGCGTGGAGCGGCCGCGGCTCGAGCGCGCCGTCACCATTGGTCAGTCTTCCCGCCCGCCGACGTGCCATTGGTCTGCTGGGTCTGGTCGGAGCGTTTGATTGGTGGGATGCCTGAAGCGAGTTTAACGATTGGTCGGTTCGCTCACCGACCGCCACGCTATTGGTCCGGTGATGTCGGGTGCGCGATTGGTGAGAAGGTGGGCGGATGTGATCGGCTACTGCTGATTCGTCGCAGTGCTCTGCAGAGCTGTGGAATATGTTGCCAGCTTGGAGTTTTACATGGGGTTTGCGCTCGTTGAAAGGTCCTTGCTGGTCGGTCCTCCTGAAAGGTTAACAACCATCATCGCTAGTCCATTGCCGAGTTCACCGTTGAATGTGCCGGTCGCTGGTGCAGTCACCTTATCATGATTGGATGACGCCGATGCAGCTCGTCTGCTATTGGCCAATGCCGATGCGGCCACGGCGCTCTGATTTGCGGGTGATGGCGTAGCTGCTGCCTGATAGGCTGTCACTAGCGTTACTGTGGTGCTCTGATTGACTGGCGCCGGCGCGGCCCCCGTACCATTGGCTGAGCGGCTGGCGGCCCCACCCCCAGAGGGCAGCTCGTCGGAGGTGGTGGGCCGCAAGCGGCCGGCATCGGAGAGCGTGACCGGCCAGGGGGACGGCGACGCAGCCGACGACGGCGTCTTCCAGGAGCTCATGCTCGACCAGGTGGGTCCGACGCCGGGCAGGCCTCACCCTTTGAGTGCATCGAACGCGCGCTTCAATGATCGCCTGCGATGCGGAACACGCCGCCTCATCCTGCCGTGCTCAGAATGACGTGCGTCCTCGGTCCGCGATGTCCAGAGTGGCACCATGTGGTGGTGCTCTGTGGTGTTCCGGCCGTATTCGCATGCTCGCTCTACTGCCGCCGCGGTGCTCAGCGCTGCCGCGCCGCCAGGTGCCGACGCCCGACATGCAGGCGCGCCGCCATCGGCTCAGCTCGGCACGTGACGAGCGGCCGCCCATCAAGCTGGGTATCCCGAGCCTCGACCAGCCGCCGCCCGACACCTGGAGCTGCATAGAGGGTCAGTGCCATACCTTCAGACGCTGGTGGTGCAGGACAGGTTTACTGATGGCTGCACCATCACCAGGCTTTGCTGGGGCAGGACAGGGGTACTGGGGGCTACACCATCACCAGGCTTTGGTGGCGCAGGGCAGGGGTACTGTCCACGGCGTCGGGCTGGGTCAAGGCCGTTGGTGGACCAGTGATGGCTCAGCAGTGAGCCGGGGTCAGCAATGGGCCCGATATGCCACGGTAGGGCCAAACGTATTTATTCCGAGAACGAACAAATCTTTCGGCTGTCATGTTGCGCTGCAGTGTTCTGCGCGCGGTGTGGCCGCGGAGGCCAGGGCGACGCTCAGGCCGCCACCGTCAGCTGGCCGGACCCCGCGTGTGACAGCTGACCTCAATTAGGGATTGGGGGGGGGGGGGGGTCTGCGTATGACGGGGCGGCGGGTGCTGCTGTACGCTAGTGGCTGCGTGCTGCTGGGGAGTTGGTGCTGGTATACGTCCCTCTGTGTATTCTGAAAGAAAGTTTGTTCTGGTGTGCGGCACCCTCCGTGTGCCACAGGGGAGATTGTGCTGGTGTGGATAACTCTCCGTGTGCCACAGGGGAAATGGTGCTGGTGTAGATGACTCCCTCAATGTGCCGCAGGGGAGTTTGTTCTGGCGCAGACGACACCTTCCATATGCCACAGGGTAGCGTGTGCTGGTGTAGGCGACCCGTCCGTGTGCCGCATGGAGTTTGCGCTGGTGTAGATGACCCCTCCGTGTGGCGCAGGGAGTTCGTGCTGGTGTAGACGACTCCTTCCATATGCCGCAGGGAGTTTGTGCTGGTGTAGACGACCCCTCCGTGTGCCACAGGGGAGTTTGTGCTGGTTTAAACACCTCTTCGTGTACTGTAGGGGGCTTTGTGCTGGTGTAGACGACTCCTCCATGTACCGCAGGGGAGTTTGTGCTGGTGTACGGCTCACTACCGTCGCACATCAGCGGTGACATGCACCTGAACCCGGGCGCCCGGCTAGACGACGGACTGCTTCACCTTCACGTGATCCGCGCCGGTGCCACGCGCGCTCAGGTCTTCCAGGTCAGCTGAGCAGCAGATAGAGGCCCTGTGTGGAGTGTTGTATAAACGCTTCTGTGATAGTGGAGGTTTGGTACACGCGGAGTAGGACGCGCTTCGTGGTGGTGTGCGCACTTCTTTGGGAGTGCTGTGTTGCAGGGGTTGTAAGATGTTTAGCCTGGAAATCACACACGCTTGCCGTCCGCGCGTGTTGCTCGCCAGTGGCTCTTTCTTCGCTAAAGCCCAAATGGCAACCTGCCGCACGCGTGTGCGCACGTGTTGTGCGCGCCTCCAGTGATGACATCTGTTGTCGGCCTCAGTACTTGCTAGGTTTGGGCGACGGCCGCCTGACGGAGCTGTCGTTCGTCGAGGTGTACCCGGTGCGCGCCGTCCGGCTCGTACCAGAAACGCCCTCCGGCTACATCACGGTACGAGAAGCCTCGGTTTCGGGAAGGGGGCGTCTCGGATGCGGAGTGGATAGAGGTGGGGTCATGTCGCGAAGTGATGGGAAACAGCGCAATTTTCGCGCCGGTAAGGCTCCGCTCCAAATTAAAAGCACCAACCATGTTGAGGTAGAGGTCAAACGGTACAGCGGTATATAGATGCCTTTCAGTTTCTACACAACAAATGACGTAACTCGAGGTGGATATCCAAAATCCGGGATGAATAAGTCAGTTTAGGCCAGTGACGGATGACGAAACTAGATCGACACCCGGGTTAATACGGCGGAACCGTGGCGTAGAAAATGTGACCAAACAAACACGTGTCCATAGCACGTTACCAGCAACTGCTCAGTCCAGGCACGTTTTGCTTCGACAGTTGGTGGCTAACATTTATCCAGACGGTTCAACTGACGTGCCATGGACCCAGACATTTATGGTGTGTTTGAAATTGATGCAGCGTGGGCACCGCTGGTGTGAGGAAACAACTTGGATCCTTTCGTGGGTATTCTCTCAGTCTTGAGAAAGCTGTGCCGTTATGATCACAAAGGGTTTGCACCTACAGCCGTTCGGATCTGATGGCTCAGAATGACGTAAATTTGGTTATTTTTTTAGATGAATCAGGTGAAATGATTGCACGACAGTGTGTGAAACTGTGATTCAGCGGTTTGGGATACTAATCGGAACCTATGCGTGCGGCTGTTCATGCCGTGCTGTTCTGTCTGATCGGTCCGCCTAACCGGGGAGGGGGAGGGGGGGGGGGAGCAGGTACCACCCGCATTAGCTCTGACCCCGTGTGTGACCCGTTCCACCGACCTGCACCCGTACCCAGCGTCTGCCGCCTAACGCCGGGCTTGGCCCTGCACCGACAGCTGGACGGGGAGGTGGTGCACTACGGGCCCGTGCAGGCCGAGGTGCACCGAGGCCTGGGCCGCGTCCTCTGTCCGAGGATGCGCTGAGGAGACGCAACGGCCGGCCGGCCGCCGACCGACACCAGCTCTCCTGGCGGCGAGGGTAGCCTCTGACGAAGACCGCGGGCCGTGGACTGAAGCCTCTAACGAGGACCGCGGACGGAGTCCTGCGGTGGCGGCTGGTGGAAACTCAGCTGTTGGGAGGGCGGTCGCCGCGGACGACAGCCGCGCATGCAGCCCCGGACGGCGGCGGCAGATCCGAACGGTCGCCGTCCACGTCGGCGGTGCTCAAGAGCGACTCGCCCCCGGTGGTGATCGCCGCGATGACCCCCGCGGTGACCCCCGCGGTCACAGAGGTGCCGCCGGTGGAGGCGCTGCTCCAGGAGGTCCAGCCGCACTTCCGCACGTGCGCGGCCGGCGCCGGGGCCTGCTGGGGCGCCGCGCGCGCCCGCTCTGTTACGTAGGTGCAATGCAGACTCCGAGCTGCGTCGCCGTGTTTGGCGAGCGGTGGGTGACGTCACATAGTGGGTGACGCCACCGGAAGCAAGCTAGGCTAATTGTACTCTGCTCAGCCCGTCAAACGTCAGCGTGATTCCGTGTTTTGTGGCGGCGTGCGAGCATTCTGCTGCCGCGGATCCTCCGCGCGGGGAAAGGGCACCTGACCCGCGCCAACGTGCTGTGAGTCGACGCGCGCGGCTAGTTCTGTCCAGTGCCTTACACGTGCGTGCGTGTGTTTGTGTGTGTGTGGCGCCGCCGCTTTGCGGGACCTGGTTGTGCGCCTGCTCACTGAGGCCGCGCGCCAAAGCTCATGCGTGCCAAACGGCACCGGCCGCAGCGGCCGCGCCGCCGGGCCACGGGTCGCCTGTTACGGCCGCGGCACCCCGGCCGCCGGTCCTGGGGTTCGGTGCGTGGCGGATCAGATCAAAGACGCTTGCGGCGCGGCGACGACGGCGTCGCCGCGTGTCAGCCGTCGCCGCAGGGGGGCCGTTCGATCTGCCAGCTGGCTGGCCGGCGGCCGATGCGTCACACGCCTCCGACGGCCGCCCGGCGCAGCGAGCGGCCACTCCGCTGGCGACCGCGGTCATGGCGGACTGTGGACAGAGACCACCTGGGGCTGGTACCGGCCGAACTGGCGGCCGGTGCCCGCGGTGCGCTCATGCGGCCACAACGCGAGCTTACTCCTGTTTTGGGCTCATATTCCAGCTGTTACACCTACCCGTTCCGTGCGTACATTCCGTGCCTGGTGGTGGGCTATGGTGCTGCATTTCGATCTACTTTGCAATAGCGAAGCGTGACGTCATTGGTGCGAGCCGCGCTGGCACCGTTGTTTATTACTGGTCTCGACCTGTTGTATAGATTCTGCTCCGTTGCAATCGATGAATTTGTATAGATTGCCCGGTTGCAATCGATGGATTTGTCATTGGCTGCTACTGGGTGATATTTTGCCTTCGCTAATATCAAGTGCATGGATAGCTCAGCGAGAATTGATCGTTGTTGTGATGGAAAGGTCGTGGATTCAATACTGCTGCCCGCGATGTGTCAGTGAACCCACGTTGAGTGGCATGAGGGACAACGCCATTAGGTGTGTACGGCGTGTGTACACGACCTTAAGTGATCAGGTTTTCTTCAAGGGATTGAAAGATTTTATGGAGTCGCCAACTCTGCACGCGTTCCTGCGCAATGTAATGCGTTTGCTGCGGCTCCCGCGCAGCGTTGGGAAAGTTTTTTTTCGATACAGTGTTGGTTTGAGTTCTTACGCAATAGGCACTGTTTGCAGCTGAACTTGCCGTCAATGGCAGCTCAGCGCGTGACTGTTGCGGATGTCGGATTTCTCTTCGTTGTAATTACGGCACGGACGGTGACGCCCGGCGGCGCTGTATGGCTCTCTGCATGACGCCCGTTCTTCAGGGCGTAGGGACCACGATATTGACCTGCTGTTGCGCCAAATAGCTGCTGTTAGTCCTGCGTACCCGCGGTTACTTGTAGCCGGCAGTTGCAGGGACCTGTGATGGCGCCGACCGCGTGCCGCGCTTGCACCTTTGATTCCTGCCCCCAACCCCCGAGCTGGAGCGACTTGACGGCATACGCGGGCAGCAGGCATTAACATATCACGAATGTGCGAGAGCGGCGCGGGGCCGGAGAGGTGGTGGCTTCCGCGATGTATGCGGGCGTCGGGTTTGAATACACGGCAGGTTAGAGTGGCACATGTGTTTGAGGGGCGATGGATGCTGCGTTACTGGTGGCTGCCCGCGACCACGGTGAGTTCAGTCAGTATAACGGTCGCGTTGTTCATTGGGGTTTCTCAGCTCTCTTCAAAAGTCGACTTCCCACTGACGTCGCAGCTGGTTTTGCCGTGTCCCATGTTGTCCTGGTCTCAGCAGTATGTAAATGGATAAATACCTAAGGAGCGGCGGCTCGCGGCAGTGTGCTGCTCTGCGCTGTGGTTCCACGGCTAAGACCTTGGCGTTTGCAATGGCGTCGCCCATGCGTGGTCGAGGTCGGGGAAGTCCCTGTGTGTCGGCCCTGGTGCAAGAAGGTAACCACGCTTCACGTTTTGTGTGCCCGTCCGCAGTTCGGATGGTCAAAGCTAGGGATGCCTCTGGATGGGGAAGTGAGAATTGAATAATGGTTTTGTCATGGAATTTATCCGCTTTGTGGCGATATTAAAATTGTGCCAAAGGCCTGGGTCTTGATAAATCAGCGGTCCCTTCCAAATGAATATTATGATTTCGTAATTGCATAAGTGTTTGCCACACAAATTTGGCCAGTTATTTCTCTACAGCACATTTACATGTTGCTATGACTTCAAGTTTGCACAGTTGGCAACATTGAAGTCATAAAATGCTGCTGAGGAAATTCAGATGTATGTTCAATTCCCTTGATTTTGCCCATAAAATGTGTCACAAGGATGAGAATAATTGAGTGCTGTGCTGTTGCCATTGTATGATGTTTGGAATGGTGTTCATGGACACAGGAGATTTGAGACAAGTGCTTTAGAAACTTTTGCTGTTCACATTAATGTTTGGCCATAGTGGCATAAATGTTATTTGGATGAAAGCAATCAGGCTTACCAACTTTCATGAAAATGACCAAAGTGAGTTGTTTATTTGAGCCACATATTTTGCACTTCTCTGAAATCTCAGTTTTTGCTAACAGGCAACACTGGATTTTAGGCATGGACTGGGTTGGATGAAAACCTCACACATATTCCTTTCTTGTGCCATTCACTAGGTAAATCCTGGCAATTCAAATACATATGCATATGCTTCAATCCAGCACAATTCCTATCCCACAGTGTGTTGCTGCCAACCCTGCCCATAAGGAGACTACAATTCCAACATGTCATTTGTGTTGTAAGCTGTGGTTATGTGTTTGTATCAGTCCATCTCTCTTTCAGGAAGCACATTGTTCACTTCATGACATTCATTCTTCTGTCATATCTCTGAATCATATCCTGTGAATGGCACCAAGACTGATGCATTAATTCAATGGAGCTTGGCCACCTGCAAAGCTTTGAGTCAGTGAAAGCATTCACGAACACACACCTCAACAATGACCACCTGTCTCGAGAGCTGTCGCGCGTCCGTGGCCTCTCCCGGTCGGAGGACGTTGTCACATCAGAGTGGCTGCACTGGTGCCGCAAGCAGCCTCATCTGGTGACCAATGAGGCCGCGGTGCCAGCCGCCATCACTGGGCAGCAGCAATGCCTACCTCGTGGACGTCAAGGTCGGCGGGAAGTTTGCCGACGACCGGATCTACAACCACAACCTGGACATCCTGCAGCGCGTGGCGCGCGGAAACTGCGTACTGAAGCTGAGCGGACTGGGCGCGCCGCGCCACCTCTGCCTCGTGCACGCGCTCAGGAAGTTCACCGGTAGTGTAGGCGACGAGGACGACACGGCGGACGTCGGCGACGACGCCACCTGGCGGCGCTATTTCCTGCGGCCTCCCGGCGCCGCCGCGCGCCTCGTAGTGACGCATAAGGTAGACGGCGACGCGGCGCACCTGAGCGCGCGCTGGCTGGACGGCGGCTTCCTCGTGTGCGTCGGGTCCAAGAACGTGCACCTGGTGCTGCGCCGCGAAGCGGACATCGAGCTGTACCGCGCCAACGGTTACCAGGTGGCGAAGCAGGCGGCGGCGGCGGCGTGGCGCCAACTGGCAGCGTTGGGGCCGGAGCGTCGCCGCCAGCTGCTCAGCTTCCTCCACCACACGCGCTTCACAGCCGTCTGCGAGCTGCTGCAGCCGGAGCACCAGCACGTGGAGGACTTCTCACACCTGACGCGTGGCGAGCTGCGCTTCATCGCCTGGGCACCGCCGCTGGAGTCGGCCGGCGAGGCGGCCGCCTCGCTGTGCGGCTGCTCGCCGGAGCTCGGATTCCGCCTCGCTGACGTGTTCGGCTTGACGACCGTCACGTACTCGGTGGTGACGGGCGACGTCGAAGAGCAGCTGCCGGATGTCGTGCTGGAAGTCAGGAAGGCGTACGGCTTCGAGGGCAAGGTCTTGTACTTCGTCGACAGCGATGACAATGTGATAGGCATGCTGAAGAAGAAGACGGTGTGGTACGTCATGCTCCGTTCTTCGAGCGTCGCCCTGGGCAAGCACTCCATCAACGACCTCAGGTCGAAGATATCGGCGAGGCTCCGAAGCATTCAGGCTAGTATGTGCCTTACAGATGAGTTCATTGAGAAATGGATTGACCTCAGCGTGGCCTTTGCCATCTGGCGTATGGACCTCGGCCGCGAAGTGAAGGGAGTCGCGCTTCCGCAGCTGTGGGCCAGGTTCCTACGCCAGAGCGGTTGCACCGATCGCTTCCCGGTGGGCATTGGGCGGTAGTTGCTGAACAGTTCGCACCTATCTGTATGCGCCCCAGTTCGGTGGAGGTGCTGTTTGGTGCCAGCTTTGGTATGCTCGTTAGTATGCAGCAGCTTTTAGTAAAGGTTATCACTTGGTGGGTTTCCTTAACGCGGTGTCCATCTTTTACACTCGTACTTTGCTCGCCTGGTCTGACGGGTGACGTGATGTTGATTTCCGGTTATGTGTTAGTCGCGCAGTATTAAGTTTTTAGATTCGCACTTTCGTCATCTCGCGGAACGAGGTCTGTGATGCCGATTCCTTCACACTGTTGGCTGCACTTTAAGCGTGCGGAGAAATAGGCTTTGTAGTACCAGTCCCACGTTCCAAACAGGTTTATGCAGCAATGCGAAGAACGAGACAAATGTCATCTTTGCGCGAGACGACAGGTTCTCGACTTCAGCAGAAGAAGCCGGCCGGATGTCCGGTGAACAGTGGGTGCACGCGCTTGTCCTATGTATCTGATGAGGCTGAATGCCTCCGCTGCATAGTATTTTAGTCCATGGTGGTGTTCAGTGCGCAATGCGCAATGCAGACATATTTACATGGGCCGCGGTGACTTGTGGCTGTCGCTAATGACCATTCGCGTGATTTATGGGCTGTGGCTTGCCGTTCCCACGTGACTTATGCATCGCTTATGTGATACCGTGTGCATCGCCTATGTGATACCGTACGCATCGCTTATGTGATACCGGACTGACCAAGCAAATACACTTCACTGTCCGTCTGTGAAGTTATTGGGACTGTATTGGGCGACGGTGCGGACGCCTATGCTGCTGAGCGCGCTGCTCGTGGTGGAAGGCATGCGCAAGGCTTCAGAGGCAAGACGACCTATTTCGTGGCGACAGTTGCTGCTAGATAGGAGCACTGAAGCAGAGTGCGTTGCGGCCTCTCCCACACGTGTTCTCGGTCCATTTCACCCTGCCACTATTTTGCAATGACTTCAGGGGCCTCTGCGGGGGACGTTTCTCAGTGCGAGCGCAGACAAACGGCCGGCACAGACAGCGACGAATTGGTCCGAAACAGGAGCTAACTGGACAACCGGAAGACAGACGGCCAGGCTGGAATCGATCTGTACTGGACCGGAACAAACCAGACGAAACCAGATCAAACCGAACCTGCCGGAGCTGGATCATCCGTCACACTGTCCGGTGTTGTCCATCACACTGTCCAACCCTATTCGTCACACCCTTCGGTCCCGTCCGTCTCACTCATCACACTCTCCGATCTCATCCGTCACACTGTCCAGTCCTATCCGTCACACTGCCCGGTGCTATCTATGACACTGTCCGGCCCTATCCGTCACTCTGCGGTCCCATCCGTCATATCCTTCGGTCCCATCCGCCACACACCCCAATCTCATCCGTCACACTGTCAAGTCCTTTCCGTCACAATGTCCGGTCTCATCCTGGGCTGTTCCGTCCCGCGATCCAGGATTCTGTCTCCGCTACATTTTGACCTGGCTGATGGCTAGCCATTTGGCCCGGTGCTCGATCCCGGCACTATGAATTAAGTGGGAGATGCGAACAGTATGATCACGAGGGTATGTTTAGGATAAAAACGGTGTTGCTGTATCCGCAACTGATGCTTGCTTTTTTAACATTTGGATGAGGTGTGGTGCACAGGAGGCCCGGGGTTGTCAAGTGCTGCAAATTAAATACATTCAGTAAAATAAAATCGAGGTTACGTTATTGGCGCGTAAGCGACATAACACAAAGGTAAGGGGCCTTGGGTGCCTTGGGTACGGACAAGTGGGGCCAAAGGTGGTTGGATATCGAGATGGCATTGGATGGGTATGGAGGGGTGATAAGGTGAATTCCGAGGCTGTCCAAGCCAGTTCTTTTAATGCATTGTATCTCCAATAAGCAGAAAGAGACAGAGATAAAACTTGTCATTGGCTCCATTCGAGAGCATATCGGAAATAGGTATTTTTGATAATGGGGTAGGCGGGACAGAACAGAGCTCGGGCTCGAACAAACTGCGTTACTGCATGAATGACATTTGCTGTGTCTTTGGGTCTTTTTTGTTTCATGTCAAGGAATTTTGTCTAAAAGGATGTGAGAAGCCAATCCTATGATACCATTCCTTGATTCTAGAATTTATTACCATTCATTCACTGATAAGATACAATGGCCCTGATTTCATTGCATGTGCTAGGCGACGCGAAGGTATAAATACCCTTCAGCAGCCAGGCCCTCCTGCAGCTCACAATTATGGTCATCAGCCAGATAACTATCATGGAAATGCATAATGTCAGGCTCTGTTACTTGGACATGGCTCCATGTGATTTGTTGACAGTTCTGCACCCTTGCATACAGATGTGTGGTACTGTACTGACAGAGCAGCAGCAAGGAGCTGTTGTTGACTTTTTCTGGCATTGGCATATTCCATTATGTTGGGAGGCATGTATATTTCATATGGGATACAGAATGATCAGTTGGCACCTGGTAGTGTGGTCAGTGCCTAGATCAAAGTAAACTGGTCATGATTTGATAAGTGTCAGAACTAACTGGTGCAACATTAAGTGGCTTACAGAGATAACCTATGCATCTGATTTGTGGTCCAATATAGAAAAAGACAAGCCAGTGCTATGTAAGTTTTTCAGATATTGCCATGAAATCATTTGTATTAGTGCCTCCTGGAAATGATTGGTTGATATGCGGTAAGGCTTACATGCCGTGATCTGATTAACAAATATGTTTCCTCTATAGGTTGTGATGGTACAAGAGCTTTCCCAACAAAGCTGTCATGGCTGGCCAGGACAAAAGTGGCCTGGAGCTAAGTAGCTTCTTCATCTTTAACTCAACATTTGGTCCAAGAGAGGGTGAAGTAAGTTTGAGCTGCCCAAGGACTCTGCATGCTTTAAGCTGGCAGTTTTGTTCAAAGCCATACTTAATCATTATCACAGTGTCATGCTGTTCTTATTATTATCACAGTATCATGCTAACTGATATGTGGAACAAATTAACTTTTAAAAAGTTTATCACATTTTGGAATACCTGGGGCCATTTGATGGGTCTTATATTAGGTTTGATGTTCCATGATATTTGTGTTCTTTAATGTTCCTATCATCTGCATCTCATTAATTTGAAGCTGGTAGCTTGAAAAAGTGATTTTTTCCAGAAACATTTGAACAACCTGTCCCAAACATATGACATCCTATCATCTGGGGTGTGGTGCATATATGGGGTGAGCTTCTACTGGCTGGTATCAAGTCTGCACACTCCCATTTAATGTTAAAGTTACATCAGTCATTTGGACTCCTACATGCCCTTGGTGATTGATTAAAGGCTTCAGAAATTGGGCAACCTTATGCCATTGCCTGCACACTAAGTCACTGAGTGAACCTGTGTTTTCCAGGAGGAGAAGAAGGTGATATATTACCATCCAAGGAACACAGACATAAATGCTCAAGTGAAGGATGTTGGGCTAGTTGAGGCTTTGGTCCAGTTTGCCAGGTCTGTATGGTTGGAGTATAGCATTCCAGATGCTGAGACTCTCGTCGTGTGAGCGCCTTGCTTTGCAGCTACTACACTGCTAGAATTGACTGACACTGTGTTGATAGCCAAGTTCTACCCCCAAGGCCCCACAAGTAACCTCAAGTATGGATACATGGTCAGCCTCCCTGCCTCCCTAGACAGGTTTTGTATATACAGGTGCTGGTATGATGTGCTGAAAACTCTGGTTAGAAGGACTGTGAAGTGTGTGCATAATGGTGTTTTGGTTTGCAATCATGTGACTCCTATCCAGCAGTAGCCATGCATGTACACTTAGTGGGTTGCCATGGTTTGAACCAGCTCGCCACTTCTGCAACAGGACATTCAACACTGAGGCGCCAGTGCACTGCCTGCAGACCCTAAAGCATAAGCACTTCTACCTGGAGCCTGAGAAGGACTTCTTCATGGTGCTGGTAAGCATGTTACCTGGTGTCCCTGGACCAAAAGTGCCCCCTCCTCTGATCTTGACACCTGTGGCATCAGACTTGGTCTGTGCCAGTAGCAGCATTGCTATGTATTGTGAAACTATATTTTATTAGGTCAGTGTGTTGGCATTTGTTATGAGACCAGCAGGTTTTCATTGGCCTCTGATGTTCTCGCATCAACAGTGTGTCGACAGAGGTGATGGGACATGGGCTAACACCCCCATAGCTCACAAACGCACACACAGACACATGGAGTGAAAATGCACATTGACACTAGTCACGTGATGCTACGACTGGGCGCCGTCTCGGCCGATCCCCGAGTGGGGGGAAAGTCTAGCTGACGGTCCTGGCTCGTACCCTTCTGTCGCGCGAGTCGTCACTCTGTGCGGTGCCGCGTCGTCTGACTCGCACTGCTGGAGTCGGGCGTCGGCTTCGTAGTACCGTGTTCATGCTGGTGTTACGCAGCGGCGTCACACGCAGAGCGCCAGGCAGTGCTATCCCGCTATAACGCACCCGCGTTGTCAGGTGGTGTCGTGCTGATCAACTCTCCGCCTAATTTTATCTTGCTTTTTACTTGCTTTGTAATTAGTTATATTGTTACCCAACTTCAAGCCGTGTGGGCGATATACGACCGGGGCCGTCTGCGCGTCCTCAAGTTCAAACCGTCACCACCAGGTGGTGCGTCTGCCGGTGGTGAAGGTGACACGCGACAGCGCCCCCTGCCGGGAGTACGTGCCCAGCGCCGTGCAGCAGCCGGTGTACCTGGCGCTGCTGCGGCACATGTACCAGCTGTACCGGCTGCTCAGCGGCCTCATGACCGGCTGCCCGCGGCAGCAGCTGGCCGAGCAAGCCGCCGCCATTTTCGACAGCGTGAGTCCGCGAGTCGGCCAGTCCACCGCTCTAGGCGCGCGCCCAGGGCCGCCGCCCGTACAGTCTGGCCGAATTTCGGTGTGGTGGTCGGAGTATGGAATCCTGCACATTATTATTAGTAGTAGTATTATCATTTTTATTGTTATTGTTGCTATTATTATTATGCTTAACTCAGCACCAACTCCTTGCAGTGACTGCTAATATTCCGGCTGCAACGGGATGTAGAGCGGTCAGAAAATGCCCCGCGGTAAAAAAAAAACACAGTTTTAAGGTCTTAGCTTGAACCTTTAAACTTTTTAGAGCGAGTTTTTGGCGGTTATCAGTATGCCGTCGGCCAGATTGAGCTGTAGTTCCCGCGCCGCGGCCACGTCGGCGGCGGCGTCGCAGTCCTGATGGTCACGTGGCGTGACGTCACGCCGTTGGTGTTGCAGTACCTGCCGCAGCTGCAGCTCCAGCAGCGCGACATCATGGACATCTACACGGGCGTGCGCTTCCTGCCGCTGGACAAGCTGTCTTTCCTGCGGCTGCAGAGCTTCGTCAACCAACTGGAGGTGGAGCACCCCTTCATCCGACACACTGTGCTCTACTTCAAGGAGCACCTAGTCTGGTGAGCGTGCGAGAGTGATCCGGCTGAATCGGGATGTTATGACGTCTGGGGCGTGTTTTGTGCCGGGGCTTGTTTGGTTGGTGTCTGTTTTTTGGTTTCCTCAGACAGCAAATTTTCCCCAGAGAGCATTCCGTACCAATGGAGAATTACGGAAAATTTCAGACGGTGGTCAGGACGGAAAATCTTCCTTTCGCCATGCACAGCTACAACCATTGGATTCGCATAACGCATGTAAGACGAGTCTGGGGGATAATTTCCGGACCGGACCGGACCGGACGAACGTAAATGGAGAATCTTCATGGCTGCTTATCTGAGAGATAATTTTTCGCTGAACAATCTTATCTTGGTCGAACACGCCCTAAATCTCGCTGCATGCGAGAATATCTCGACAACGAATCATCTCCCCCCCCCCCCCCCATCAGCCCCCTCGAGCTGACTATCCCGTGTCGGCCAGGTCGGGCCTGGGGCGCACCAACATGAACATCATCAACCACTACCTGGCCACCGTGCTCTTCCCCGAGTGCGGCTCCCGGCCGTCGGTCTGGCGCGACCGCGACGCCTCCACCAGCGGCATGTGAGTGGCGCGCGGGGCCGCAGGCCCACTGGTGACGGCTGGGGTCTCGCTGACGGGGGAGGGGGAGGGGCTGGGGTCTCACAGATGGTTAGCCGCCAGGCGTTGTTTGCCATGGTCGGCCTTGGGCTTTCACGCGCTCGTCTGTGATAACTGCTTACGTGCGTTGGACAGACTTGTAGTCGTGCGTGCGCGCGCTGGTAGATGCATTAAGGGCTCCGACTTAACGGTGACGTCACACACCAGCTTCATGTCGACGGAGGCGGCGTCTGGCGAGCAGCCGGATGAGTGCCTATCGCCACCTGTCGTCCACCTGCGGAAGCACAACTGCAGCGCACCGCAGCTGGGCGGCGCCAGCGGCAGTCGCGACGGCGACGACAGCGTGGACGGCGAGGCGGTCGAGACGGCGGACCAGCCGGCCCAGATGGTCATGTATCGGCTCATCGACATGGTCGTCGTCCTCATGCTTGACAGTGAGTGACGCCGTCTCAGGCGGGGCTCATTGTCGCTCCCGATGACTGATGGTTTCTGTTGATATGCGTTTGATCTTTCACGGGGACAGCGGGGGGCCGTCGATTGCGGAGGGGATAGGGGTACTTGCATTAGCTAGGTCGTGTCCGCGCTCCGCGCCGGAGCAAACACAGCCAATGAGTTTAGTGGTGTCTGGGACGAGGAGCCCTGGTTCCACTCCCGCTCCAGTTGCCTCCCGTCGACTGACATTTCCAACGGTCCAGCGACGTGCGGCGCAGTAACTGCTGCTGTGGTGTGATCCTAGCGGCGACGCTTGTCAATCTATCCCCTATTGAAGCGAACTTTCACCACCTCCTTTCAACTGCTCCCACGCGTCGTAAACGACGTGAGTAAACATCAGTGGGCCACCGCTGCTCACGGCGATTTTCTGGCGAGCAGCGGAGGTGCGGCCAACGATGCAGCTGTGCCGCCAGCTGGACGTCTTCATGGCGTCCCGCGTGCAGGAGCTGTCGGCGCTGCTGGCCCGCTCGCTGGCCGACAGAGGGGCCACCAAGGATGACCCCGACACGAAGTGAGAGAGCGCGGGCACGCGGCGGAGGGGAGGGAGAAGGGGGAGGGGGCGATGTCGTCACGCTTAACGTTACGTTGAACGGAAGGTTGCGCTGTTTGCCATGCTGGCTCATGTTCGTGTCACACACAGTAGTGGGTGGGATGGGGAAATGGGTGGGGATTCAGGACAGAGGTGCAGGTGGTGATCGATGAAACGAACGCTACGGCGTCCCACATGTTCTGGTCGGAGTATCAGCCGACCTCGGATGGTGCTGTGCTGATCTAAGTCGAACTTCGAGCCTTCGAAACGCGGCGGGCCGGGTCTGGGCGCGATTCCGCCGCAGTGCAGTTTGGTGCAGTCAGCAGTGCAGTCAATGGTGCAGTCGCCAGCCCGCCCGCCTCACCGCTACACCGAACATCGCAGAGTGATCTACTACAACCGCTACAACCTGGCCCAGAAAACGAGCATGCACGAGGAGGGAGGCCGCGCCGGCGTACCCGAAGAGGCCCGCCAGCTGATGGTTGACCTCAGGGAGGACGCGCTCAGGTGAGTGGCGCCGTCAGCTGACGCGCGGTGTGGCGCCAAACTTTGGCGCGCTTCGACGTCCCAACGATTGCCATTGGGTATATATTTGGGTATTATGGCCAAATATTGCGGATGACCGAATTATTTACCGGTTTCAGAAAGTACGCGTCGCATGAACGATTATTGTGCGTGGAATGTACGCCGGGTGCATATTCCACGTGATAGTACGCACGTGCAATGGTCGATAGGCAGAAAAGGACTGCTGCTTATAGTTATCTTGCCATCGCGTTCCCAAAAATCAGAGCAAGTCGCCATCTCACCACGTCCCACGATATCGGCGATGTGGACCACGACCGTACACCCGAAGTTCGGTCACCTGATTGCGATCACACGTTCTCACCAGACAGTGACGGTGGGTTCTCAGTTCAGCCCTCGTCTGACGCTGAGCGCACGCCTAACAGTGTGACCGCCCCCCCCCCCCCCCCGCCCCCCGTGCGACAGTTTCGGACCAGAGGGCGGTGCCGTGTTCGGCCGGGCGATCAACGAGAGCTGGGTGGCCGGCCGCGTGGCGCCCGACCGCGAGTTCTTCACCGTCATCCAGCAGAAGGGCGCCAATCTCATGGACGTCAACGGTGAGCTGACGGCGCCCGGCGACCGTCAGTGCTCAGCGGTGATCGCTGCTGATCGGCCGGTCGGCCGGGACTGGCAGTGTGTGGTGCAAATCAGCACTCTAGTCCCGTTAGTGCCGCTGCTTGCTGCTGCTGCCGACGTCTGCCCCCGCGTCGCGGTACGTCTCCTTGACGTTCATTTCCGCCGTTTGCGACGTTCTCGGCACGTACCGTGTCGCAGCGACGTTGACCGCGCACGTGGAAGGCTCAGTCGTCGCCACCGACCCGACCTCAGCCACCGGGGGAAGCTCCAGCATGCAGCGTGCGGCTCGGCTCCGAGTAGACCTGACCCGGCTGCCCCTCCCTCAGGACCTGACCCCGCCCCGGCCCCACCCTGGCCTGATCTGGTCTCCCCTTCTTGGCCTGGCCCCTCCCTGTTCCAGCCCCACCTCTCCCTGGCCCAGTCCGCCCCTCCCTGATCTGGCTCCGCCCCTCCCTGACCCGGCCCGCTCCTCCCTGATCTGGCTCCGCTCCCCCCCCCCTGACCCGGCCCGCCCCTCCCTGATCTGGCTCCGCCCTCCCTGACCCGGTTCCGCCCCGCCCCCAGGCCAGGTGGACCAGCTGTGTCGAGACCAGTTCGCCAGCATCTTCTTCCCGGCCTGAGAGCGGCCGTCACTCCAGCCGAGGCGAGACCACCGGCCGGCGAACGCGTCCTCGGACAGTCACGTGACCGCGGACGGTGGCGACACCGCCCGAGAGACGACACCTAGACCGGTCACGTGACGGTGACGTCAGCTCGGCTGGGAGACGCGGCCGGACGCGGCTGGGGCCGGGCCGGGGTGCCTGCTGTGCTGACGCACAGCACCACGTTCTGCTGTTCTGGCACTGGAGGAGCGTCCGACTGCAGGTCCTGCTGCCGGCTCCGGCCAGCGGATGCGTATCCTCTTTAGAGCGGACGTCACGCGCCGTGCGCCGCTTCGCGCGGCACGTGTTTTGTACGCAGTGTGCTGCAGTGTACTCCCGCGAGGCGCACGTGATATCTATTACACCGCAGTCGCTCTGCATTGAGCGCCGTTGTGTGCTACATGTGATAACTCCGGTAGGCGGCGGGGTTCCTCGGTGGTGCGCCCGTCGGTGGATTCGGCCGGCTGCACGTCCGTGCGTCGATATTACCCTCCGCCGCTTGCCGCGGCTGTCGGGTCCGTCTCGCGGCTGTGGCGGCCTCCGCGCGCTCCCGTGGTGGCCGCCGGACGCGCCGGACTCATGGCGGTGCTCCGCCGGTGTGGGCTCCGGACGGACGGGGCCGAGCGTCCCAACGTTGTATGCCGGCCAGCGATACATAGTCACGCCATCTAGCTCTGGCGGCGAAGCGGCATGTTCGTACGATCTGTCCCAATCGTCGGTTTCTTTGGAGTGCAATCACCACATGCCAATGAATAATATTCCCATGTAACCGGATACAGTTATCTCTCAGGCAATGCGCCCTCCACACACACTGATGACACACCGCTGCGTATCCCTCCACGCGCATATGTATTCTACATTCTCATGTTACAGTCTGGCCGGTAGCGGTGACGTCAGTGATGACGTCACGGTCGCGTCGGTCAGTGCTCGGCCGGCTCGTCCGGCAGCTGGGCCTCGGGCGTGTGCGGCCAGTACGTGGGCCGGTTCACGGGGTCCAGCGCCTGTGGCAGACCGGCCGGTGTCAGCTGCGCGCGGACGCGGCGGCGGGTCCAGCACCCCTGCACTCAGAGTCCCCCGGGCTCGGAGGCAGCGCGGGTAGCGGCGCCACGCAGCACGGTCAGTGGGGTTACCCGCTAGAGCGGTACATCGCCCACCCGCCATGTGTTATGCAAATTTCAAGCTGTAGGAGGGATGTGGACAGGAAAAACACGCCAACATTTGCAGGCAGCTGTGACCCGTGGTCAGCCTTGTGGCTCAGGCACGAGTACCCCAGAATGCTGTAACATTTGTTTGGTCCAATCCAGAACGGTCATAATAAAAGGACGGAACGAACTAAGAAAGAAAGAACTAAGTGGAACGGTCAAATAAAAACCTAACATTCGCACCAGGTACAGAATGTAGCCTAACATTCCAGGTATAGACTGTAACCAATTATCGAATGGAAAAGCCATGCTTCTATGCAACAAGAGATCCCATTCATGTTGGCATCCGTAAAACTATATCCTAAGCATCACATCTTCCCATGCGGCAGCACCCGTGCCGACAGCGCCGGGGTTGTACTCACGAGGTCGGGGAAGTGCTCGCGGAACTCCTCCATGGTCATCTGGTCGAAGGCCGGCACCGTGTCCCACTTGGCCAGTTCAGCCTTGTAGCCGTCGATGCGTGCGTTCGAGTCCGTCGTGAACTTGCGCACCTGCTGCTCCTGTGGAGCGGGCCGACGGCGGCGGCGGTCAGGCACGCGCGCCACCTAGTGCGCTGCTTTTGTCGGTGGCACAGTGCACATCAGGAGTTGAAAGAATTCTTACTGATGTGCAACTGATGCCCCTCCCCACAGTGCCGGTAGTGCAGTGGTTAACAGGTCTGCGTTGACCACTATGCGTCTAGGAAACCAGAGGTACGGGGTTCGATTCCCCGCGGTGCCCGCCCTTTCTGCCAGGGTGAGAGGCAGGCAATGCCATATAGCCTCAGCAGCTGAGTGCGTCATGAAGCCCCGATGACGCACACAGACACTGATGCCCCTCCCCATGCACATCTTCATTGATTAAGCTGCTGCAAGTCAGCTACACGCAGGGCAAACCACAAAACCTTTTTCAAAGTTGACACATGAAAACCTGAGACAATCTGCAGCCTCAGAAGCCTGAACAAAAACTTGAGACAATCTGCAGCCTCAGAGGCCTGAACAAAAACTTGGGACAATCTGCAGCCTCAGAAGCCTGAACAGAAACCTGAGACAATCTGCAGCCTCAGAAGCCTGAACAGAAACCTGAGACAATCTGCAGCTTCAGAAGCCTGAACAAAAACTTGAGACAATCTGCAGCCTCAGGAGCCTGAATGGAAACCTGAGACAATCTACAGCCTCAGAAGCCTGAACAGAAACCTGAGACAATCTGCAGCCTCAGAAGCCTGAACAGATACAAACTTGTTGCTTTTGTTACTGCTCTGACACACATTACAGATGCAAGATTCTCCAAAAGTATGCAACTGCTATCACAGAATATGCCCTAGCTTTTTGAGTGCCAGCCTTTGATAGCTTTGGAGGAGGTGATGTCTGGATGGTACTGACTTTGGCACTAGCTCCCATTCTCTCACCTAGCTCTTATTCAGATATCTGAGACTGAGCCCTAGTCATGGATCATGGCTCATTCAATCACACTTCATCACAGACTGGGACATTTGTCATATACTGGTAGATAACATGGTCAAAAGTCATGGAAGTATTCATTATGAGTGAGTCTTGCATGGTATTCATATGTATTCATTAGAAGTATCCACTATGAGTACGATGTCAACCCAGGTTGACACCTCAATGCAATTACCACAATGAGCAACCTATCAAGCAGAACTAGTAATTCTTTGGTATATGCTGTCATCACTGCTGGGGCATCAAACTCCTGCATCCTTGAAATATTCACCCAACAAACGTACCGCTTCCTTTGCCTGGCTGTCAATCTGTGGGGAGACCTTGTCCTCAGGATAGGGGATCTTCAGGCCTTCCATCTGCTTCTTGAACTGGTCCACCATGCCTGCGGTACCCAGACGGGACGAGTACTGTGCCCAATCTAACGCAGGCATGTTCTCTGGCTGGGCCAGTACCCTGAGAATCACATGAGTTGATGACCAACAGGTGTCAGCTCACACTAATGTTACAACAGGAGAGCACACATAATAGAAATATTCAAAATGAATACTTCCATAACTTGATAAAATCATATACCAGTACACGACAAACGTCCCATCCGTGAGTGTGATTGAATAAACCATGATCCATGACTAGGACTCAGTCTCAGATATCTGAATAACTGGCCTTTCATTCAACACACTCAGGCCACAACCATTGCTGGTCATCAGTATGCCCCACTGATGCTCCCATGAGCTTACACAACCAAGCACCTCTGGATAGATACTTGACATCATCACATGTTCCCACTGATCCTACCATTCAGCCACACACTATGACTATACTATTCCATAGAGAGCTCTGCATTAATGACAAGGAAGTTGTACTGGTGCCCAGAAACTACAGCAGGATGGCCCACCTGACATGATTTTGAGTGCAAGGTGACATCATTTTTGACAAAATATGAAACTACAAGATTAATGTTGTTCTACAAGAAGTTTACCAACTTATGTCTGAAATCTTATTCCAAAGCACAACGAACATTAACTTTTTTACCGGAACACAGTTTCAGACACACCATACCGACAATTATATGAAAATACTCGAAATTAACCCAACTCCAGAAATTGGTAGCTCACCGACGAAGATAACCGTCCGACTTCGCCTTGAACTGCAGATACATAGATTTCTGGCCTTCTGGAACCCTCTTGGCAAATGCAGCCCAGTCAATGGAAGATTTTGCAATGCGCTTGGTCGCCATAGCTATATTTTGAAGGGGAGAATCCTTTTGCCCCCCGTGCCCGGCTGTGACTTGTAACCAGGGACCGCCCGTTCGAGACCCAGAGGATTGCCTCAAACTGCTTCGGACACTTTTGTGGCGCACCAGCTGAGTGCTGCAAATAGTGATGAAACTGGATGAAATAAATCTTACTCTACCTGACAAAGTTTTTCCCGGCGCAGCCAGTGAAAGTGATAAATTGCATAGCCCGTCTAAATCGCAAATTCATGCTGATACGTATTTTCCCACCATATCCGTTCCATTTTCATCTCGTGATCGGAACTTCTTCCTAGGCTTTCGGAATTTCAGATTCGGGCGGACTCAGGCTTTACCAAGGCAAACAGGCACACACGCCAGCAAATTGAAGGGCAGTAGGTTGGCCTGAATGCAATGTGTCGGTTCAACGATTTTCTGTGCCTGTAAACAGTTTGCAATGATATATATATATATATATATATATATATATATATATATATATATATATATATATATATACATATGTGTGTACACAAGTAGCATAGTATACCTCTATGACTGTTCCATGTATTAGCTGCATTTGTATGTCATACGACCAATTATGGGTAAACATTTACACGTGATATATTTGACTTCGAGCCTGCATGATCTCAAAGTACATACATTCGAGCTTGCCACTGTGCCTGCCACTGATTTCACTCGTTATCAGAATGGACGAACTATAACACTCATTGAACGATCTGGCTGAACGGCGTGAACAGAGCCTTCATCTGTTCGGATCACACTGGTCTGGACGAAGGCATGAGCGCTCGTTCGCCGTTATCTTTGCTCCGGTGGTCGCTTCCAAGTCTCAGTCCTCAGCCAGCTCTAGGAAGTCCAGCAGTCGGTCCGGCAGCGGCAGGCGCCGCACGCCGTCCGGCAGCCGGCCGAGCTCGTCCAGCCGGCGGCGGACGACACAGCGGGCCAGCCTGCGCAGCGGCGCCACGTCTGTGAAGCGGCCGAGCCACGGCGCCTGCGCCAGCACCGTGTAGTGCAGCGCCACGGCCCCGTCCGCTGGCGCGTGCCCAGCCGCCAGCAGGCGGAGCCTCTGCGGCGGCGCGGCGCGCAGCAGCAGCCTTAGACAGAGCAGCGCCGGATCGCTGTACGGCCGACCGGTCAGCGCGTGCTCCTCCGCCTCGGCGTTTAACTGGTGGCAGAGGTGGGACAATGGCGCGTGCAGTGCACTGCCGCCAGCCACGGGCACAAAGTCGAGCCGCGCGCCTAGCCGCAGGAAGAGAATCACCGCCTGCGGCTCCTGCCGTCCCACGGCCGCATGTAGCGGCGGCACTAGGTCAAACGACAGCAGCGGCAGGTCAACGGCGCGGTGGGTGCGCTCCCAGCCGGGCCGACGCCGGTCGTCGTAGTTGACGGTGAGCCGGAGGTCGGCGCGCGCCGCGTGCCGCAGCAGGTACTCGGCCGACTGCAAACACTCGGCCTGGTCGTCCAGGTCGGCCTTGGCGCCGCTGATGAGGTACGTCAGCCGCGTGCCGAAGATGGCGCCGGCCAGCAGCCGCTCCAGCGACGCCTCGCACGCGACCACGGCGCGCAGCAGCCGGCACACCAGCGCCGTGTCGGCCACGCGCCAGCGAAACGCCACCACGGCCGCCACGTGCAGCGCCTGGTGGAAGCGACCCAGACGGCACACGCCGCCGTTGGCAGCGCGCGCCGCCTCGTGGTGGCGCAGCAGCGCTGCTGTGACGTCACACGCCGCCAGCTGATGGTCGCTGGTGAGTGTGATGAGCTGGCCGGCGACTGCCGCCGCCCGGCGCCGCGCAGCCCGATCGTGCAACGGGCCATCGCCCAGCTGGCGCAGCAGCAGCTGGCCCGGTGACGTCATATGGTCGCACGCGCGCTCGAAGGCGAGGAAGATCACCGATACGATCACTGAACGGCACGCCGCGGGACAGTAGGTGTGACACGCCGCGGGCGGTTCGCCGGCCACTGGTGAAGACAAGGCGGATGCAGAAAAGTGGCGGCACGTGCTAATGCGCTGTTCTCTTGAGGGGCTTCGTAATCCGGAAGTCCTCCGAGTGCACATCGAGCCATTCTGTCGACTGGACGCGCAAGACTAGAGGTCAGTAACAGATGGTTCGCCTCTGCCCGACGATGTATTCGATGTAAACAATGTATCCGATTTTAACCTTCTTTTTGACATCGTGTCACGTCATTCTCGTCAAATTTTCCTGAAACTTCTTCGATGGGCTATTATCAGCTACACTTTTCAGTCCTGTACTATATTGCGTGGATATCTTGACAGAACACTAAGCCCGTATATTTTTCCATGCGCTCTGCATAGCAAATGTTGCGGGTACCAGCAGTGTGTGTTTTGCCAGGCAGAAATATGAGCACGAAACAATACACAATAGTACAGACAAAAAAAAAACAAACAAAAAAAGGTCCACAGCCATGGTTCCCTCTTCCCAAGTGTGCTGATGGCTTCAGTTATGCACATCATCAGGACCTTCCTGCGCTTCGGCACACATCAGTAACAGTCGACCGTCACGTCCGCCTGACGGTCCATCTCCGCGCACCGGAATATCTCCTGCACCCTGGCGGTCACGTCGCGAACCAGAGCTTCTAGCGAACCCCCGTCTGTATCAGGGGGCGCCACCTCCGCATCTGTCTCGCGGCTCTCCGCGCGTGCCGCCGCCTCCAGGAACTGTTGGCGACTGAGCGCGACCTCGGGCCGCCGCCTGAGGCGATCCAGCTGTCGCTCCCGGCTGCCCGTCACCCGCCCGCTGAAGAACGCCTCCGTGCTCTCCGCCAGCACACTGCTGATGATGGCGTCACATGACTCGGCGGCCGGCGCCGGCCGGTCGTCACGTGACCCGAGCGGAGGCGCCACTGCCGCGGCCGCCGCCGTCGCCGCCGGATCGTCCGCACCCAGCTCAGTCCCCTGCTCCAGGACGGTGCCGGCGCCGCTGCGGCCCGTCAGCAGCATGTCCCTGACGGCGGCCAACAGGGGCGCCGGCCCCTGCGCGGCGGCAGGGTCGGCCGCCGGCCGCCGCAGGAGCGCCAGCGCGCCGCCGTCCGCCAGCCAGCCGGCGGCCGTGCGGCCGGGAATGGGCGCTGCCGCCGACAGATCTGCGGCATACAGCGGACCGACGCGTGTCACACAGGCGCACGCGCACATGGAGATGGCGGGGGGGGGGGGGGCGTGGATGAGTTACGCAATATCCGCGTGCAGGTTCACGTTGACCAATCATTGAGGGTATGACCTAATCAGGAGTGAAACGTTGGTATCCAGCATACCGTTGTCGAGAGAGTATTAAGAAACAGAGCCCATATATATATATATATATATATATATATATATATATATATATATATATATATATAGCTATATATGTACACATATATCTATAATCATAGGGGGAACTGTGACCTCAACCAGAGTCCAGACTTCATCATCAGTATGCAGTATACTCATGTTCAGAGTCAGGCTGGATTATCCTCGGAGGCACGGCTGCATATACCACTTCGTCGCACACTGATTCTCTGTGAGGTGGCACATAACCAGGGGCGAACACAGGCGGAGCAAGGGATAAGTACAACCCACGTTACAGCTCAGAAGCGCAGGGAGTTTGAATACAACGAAACGGACCGAAATTGAGCAACGCCGTTTGTTTCCGAAAATGACATCACCAGGGATGTGGCGTAAAAACGCACGCACCAAACACCAAGCACAGCGGTCACGTACGCATAAAACAAAACGCAAACAGACAGGTGGCCGTGCCTGAGCGCGGCTGTGGTCAGCTGACGGCGGCGGGGAGGGGAGGGGACGGGGACGGCGGCACCTCTGGCGACGGCGGCGGCGAAGACGCGCTGGCTGGCGTCGCTGACGGCGGCGTCTCCGGAGCAGAGGCCGGCCTGCAGCAGCGGCAGCAGCGCCGACCACTGGTTCGGCGTCGGGGTCCTGCCGGCCAACAGGCGGCCTCACAGCAGGGACAACACATGACACAGTGACGGGCGGCGTCACAGCAGGGACAACACATGACATAGTGACAGGCGGCGTCACAGCAGGGACAATACACGACATAGTGACGGGCGGCGTCACAGCAGGGACAACACATGGCATAGTGACGGGAGGCCTCACAACAGGGACAACATACGACAAATGACGTGTAATAGCACGGACATGTCACTCGAAGTGACATCACAGCAGGGACAAGAAGCCATATCGCAGCAGCGACACGCGGGCTGGCCTCACAGCAGCGACACGATCGGTGATACAACAGGGACATGGCGCGATTGGAGCAGCAGGGACAGAAACAATGGTCGCAGTGTGCTGGCAATGATCAGCACTTCCAAGATCGGGTAACGCACGGCTCAAGACAGCGGGCAGCAGATCTTGTTTTATCACATTGACACAATAAACACACGCATAGCGAAAATCCAGAACCCAACACAAAACATCGGTTTCGGCACCTACACGCGGCAAACTCCCAACGGAACGCACCACACCCGATCGGGATTCTGGGCCTGGACACAGTCAGAACACCCGATGAGGACTCTGCGCCTGGAGGCAGTCAGAACGCCCGATGAGGACTCTGCGCCTAGAGCCAACCAGAGTACCAGATGAGGACTCTGTGCCTGGAGCCAATCAGAATACCACATGAGGACTCTGCGTTTGGAGCCAGTCAGAATACCAGATGAGGACTGTGACTGGATACAGTCAGAATACCACATGAGGACTTGGCGCTTGATGCCAGTCAGAATACCAGATGAGAACTCTACACCTGGAGTTAGTCAGAATACCAGATGAGGACTCTATGCTTGTAGCCAGTTAGAATACCAGATGAGGACTATATGCCTGGAGCCAGTCAGAATACCAGATGAGGACTCTGCACCTGGAGACAGTCGAAAAACCAGATAATTCTATGCCTGGAGCTTGTCATAACATCCAATGAGGGCTCTGCGATTGGAGCTTGTCATAACACCTGATGAGGGCTCTGTGCTTGGAGCCAGTCAGGACCTTAGCGCCTTGACAAACCCTCCTGGTGGTGTAACGTCACATCAGAGTTAGCATAGCCCGGTCTCTCCAGTGATACGCTGGTGCCCCTTGGCGCCCAGCACCAGCCAGTACCGCCGCCCGGATTTCCAGCACCAGCCCGTTGGCAGCACCCAACGCGCGCACGACCCAACAGCTGTGGCGTTCCGACAGCTATCATGATCTATCAAACACGCCATGTCCATGGCCACTGCACTGACAGAACGAGACGGGGCGCGGCGAAGGCGGCTTGACGGGCGCCTCTCACCGTTCGCTGTGCGCCAGAAGCCGCTCCTCCAGCAGGCGGAAGGCGACAGTGCCCACCACCACGTCCTGGTCCAGACACGACTCGGCCACCTGCGCGGGGGGCACGGGGGAGCGGTGAGTACGTGACGCTCCGCTGAAACACGGCAGCACTGGCAGGCGCCGCCAACAGGGCCCGGCGGCGTCGCGGTCAGACAACTCGGCCTGGGCGTAGATCTGTGGATCTCTGGAAGGAGCAGAGGAGACGCTCCGTTCAAGTATTATCAGAAATGATCGTTATCGAAGAACAGCCGGGGAAGTCAAGTACGCCAAGCGTGATTGCGGACTTACGGACTTTGGACGACTGGACCAACAACCCGACAGAACGGTGCCCGGCATCGCGCCAAACACGGACGCACAGATGTCCTCACCTGGACGAGGTCGGTGTGGTGGTCCAGTTCCTCCCAGGCAGCGTCGGCTGGGCCGCCGCGCGCACCAATCGTCGCCTCCAGCAGCCGGTCTGCCGTGTCGCGCTCCCCTGGCCCCGCCCCCAACAGCGCCGCCAGCGCCGCCGACGGCAGCTTATTGGCCGCCAGCCAGGCGGCCAGCGGCGGCGGAGCGCCCTCATTGGTCGGCTGCGGCGGGGCCGGCGGCTGATTGGCGCAGCGGAGCAAGCGCGAGCACGGCCTCGCCGGCGGCGTCCAGCGCGTCCTCGCTGGAGGGCTGGCTGAGGCGGGCGGCGAGGGCGGCGGCGAGACGGACGCCGGCGGCGCCGGACGGCGGCGGCAGCAGCGGCGCGCAGTGAGCCAGACACTGCAAACTGCAGGTCTCCGTCTGTGGGGACGGAGAGAATGCAGTAGCGCCGCGCAGCGGCAGATACGTTGCAGACTGAGCACTCTCGTGTGGAAGGACGGAAAGGATGTGACAGTGGTGAGCAGTGGGACCGATAATTAGGTACGCGGCGTAACGTTTCTCGATGAGATGCACAAATCTGAAGGTCTTAATATTGCGTCACGTGATAAAATTGATTTTGTCCTCAGTTTGACCTGTTAGCCCCGCAAATATCGCCATTTCTTTATTTACCATACACAATCGACGAAAATCATGCACGTTATAAATAGCCAACGGGATAACAACACAAACAGGCCCTCTGAAACCCAGCACGCCATTCTCGAATAAACAAAGCACTCAGCTACGCCTTCCACTCAGCTGACAGCTTACCCGCCCAGGTTTGTTCTGTTCCAAACAGCTGACGATGACGTCATCCAGCGCCACTAGTGACGCTGCGCTCTTAGGACTGCGCCGTGCGGAGGCGACGATGTTTCCGACCATCATCAACACGCCGGCCTGCGGACGAGGACAAGACTGTGTCTCGGCTCGGAGGCCCGCCGGCGGTTGTCAGGCACGCGATCATCGCGCATGCGATCCTGGTAGAAATACTGTCCGGGCGGGCCTGAATCGAACGAAGGAACGAACGGGTAACGGGGAACGAAGGGGGAACGGGAACGGGTAAAAATCAAACGGGCCGCGGAGCACGTGCCGCGCTGCCGACAGCTGCCTGAGCCGGGGCCGCCAGCTGGCTCACAGCACTCCCGCGCCCCGCCTCACCTGCCGCCGGGGGTCGGAGACGAGACCGTGCCTCAGCAGCAGGAGCCAGGGCTGAGCCAGGCTCCGCGCCGTGTCCAGGTCCGGGGTGACGTCCCCACAGCCGTGCCGAGGCCGATCCTGCAGGGAGGGGAAGGAGAGAGGGGGACGTCAGAACAACGGAGCTGTGCTTGGGGCGGCTCGCGCTCTCTCCTGGCCATGCGCCTCCAGTGCAGCCGCAGAGTCATGGGCACGGGGCCAGCGGCGATCCGGTGTTGGATGACATCACGACATCGAACGCCTCGCGGGCCGCTGTACTACTGCTCTAACGATCACAGATGAGGCGGTTCTCGGACAATGCAGCACACTCGCGCGCAAATGCTACACCATCAAGTACGGTCTCCAATGATGTATCGCGCCCAATCCCAAACAGACATGACCGGTGCCTGACGACTGAAGAGACTGCTACTAGCCACAATATGAGTGTGTGTGCAGCCGGCAGCGGGCACCGCGGTGTGGGACGCCTTAGCGCCCGGATACATCATCACACCCAGAACAACATCACCGTCATCATCATCGGACCACCCACCGCCCGGCTGAGGAAGACAGACTTGACGACGTCCGTCACGTGCTCGGGCGTGTGCTCCTCACAGAGCGTCTCCAGCGAGGAGCGCAGACCGGTGTCGCCTCCCAGGAACTCCTGCCCAAGCGACGGCACCCGTGCACAACAGTGAACGCTGCGGCACGGAGGAGCGCCACGACCGCACATCACGAGCTGCAAACACTGTATTTCAAGGAGCCCAAGGTCACTCAAGTTATAGGCTAAGTCTTAGCCTACAGGTTCACTTAGTGAACTTGGCGACCGGTGGCGAACTCGTGGGGAACTACATTTCTGCCTAGATAAAGCGCCTCGTCTGCTAGATTTCTGGGCCAATACAGCTGTTCTCGACATTTTGGGTTCCCATGTACAATTAATGTTTACATTTTTACATCACAGTGAGATGAGTCCATGCTCCGCTGGGATCTCAGCAAGCCTTTGAGTGATCATACCTTTTAGTTGGAAGCTTTCATTATTTTCGCGGCCAAAACCACTGCAGAATGAGAAAAGACAGGGCATGACAAGAAACTAAGTAATTCATGGATTTGTTGTTTAGGGTTTTAGAGCACGCCAACTACTGAGGCCATTTTGCGCCAACGAGCAATTCATGGAAGCTGTACACTTGGAACTGATAATGCACATATTAAACTGTGGAACAGGAATACCTAATAGCATCACCTCTATCAATGGACAACACCATATAGACATGCATACACCATTGCAAACAGAGGCAGAGATAGAAACATACCTCAAACAACCCTTGCTGTTCCTCGGCGAGGGATACTTCTTCCGGTGTCATCTCATTCGCACGACATCTAAGTAGCACAGTCCACAACGGAGCTACCGTGGCTGCCGTGAGGTGGCAGCACCTTCGCTGACCGAGAAGACACGCATCCAACAGTAGTGTGGTCACATTCCTGAGTGTTTCTGAGGATGAGCGGTCGTGTGTACATCATCCCGAGTTAGCCAGGAAGCACAGCAATATTTCATCCACCTTGACTGGGAGCATGACTTGGCGTGGCGGAACCAGTATGCGATTCCCATGGTTCCCGCCCTTCTTGCCAGGGTGATAGATAGACGACGTCACATGGCGTCAGCTGCTGAATATGCGCCGAAAAGCCCGAATGAGACCAACAGGACGCATGCCAGGGAGAAAAGCAGCACATTCAGACAAAGTTGCAATCAAATTTTTCAGTCCAACAGTTAATGGTTCCAAGAACGTCAGCTTCGGCAATACCAGTAGTGATAACGAAAAGGCGCCAGTCATAGACAGTGATGGTCTGATTCGTTCCTGGTACAACTGTGAGGCAGTGGTACATTGTTTTACATCTGGAACATGAACAAAACCAAAAACCTTGTGTACACCCAAAGAACAGAGCTATCTTCCCATTCAAAAATACACAACAAATTCTTGGTAAACAATATGCAACCTAACAAGCAACCAATATTTCTGATGGAAAATTTAGTACCTACCGGAGCTCGGTTGTTTACACAATGCTCGGCACGCTCTTCTCGTCGCTGACGTCACAGCCTCCTCGGACGATGATTGGTCCAGCTGGTGCAGACACAGATAGAGCTGGGCAGGGATGAATGGAGCTGGAGCGAGCTCCATGGGCACAGACACCTGAAAACAGCGTGTTGCGTCACACACTGGTGTGCCATCCCTCCCTTTCCAGCCTTCAGGCTGGGTTACCCTTAACAAAACCATCGGACCACCGAATCTGACGCCCTCGCGCCAATTGTGGCTGAAGCCCGACACATCATCAGTAGCCTGCCCCGAACTAACGACCTCTCGATTACTTAGGCATTGTGTTCTACCTACGAGATAATGGGGTGTCACCAATCCCGACCCATCCAAATGCTTCATGACATCCTTATTAAAAATTTCATCCTTCACAGAACAGCTGATCTCGGTCAGGTCAGACCTGTCAGGTCAAGCTCGTCAGGTCAGGCCAGTTAGGTCAAGCTGGCCAGGTCAGAATGGTTAGGTCATCCCTGTCAGGTCATGCTGGTGAAGTTGGTCAGGTCAGGCCAATGAAATAAAGGCAGGCAGGTCAGGTCCTACCAGTCAGATCAGTCAGATCAGTCAGGTAAGTCAGGTCATGCTTGTCAGGTCAGTCAGGTCAGGTCAGCTATGTCAGGCTGGTCTGGTCAGGTCAGGCTGGTCAGGTTAGGCCAGTCAGGTCTCGCCAGTCAGGTCAGGTGGTCAGGTCTCACTAGTCAGGTCACACTGGCCAGATCAGGCCAGTCAGGTCGGGCTGTTCAGGTCTCGTCGATCAGGTCAGACCAGTCAGGTCAGGCCAGCCAGGCTGGTCAGGTCAGGCTGGTCAAGTTACACTGTTCATGCTGGTCAGGTCTTGCCAGTCAGGTCGCCACGGTGACCTGACCGACGCCGCCGTCTGACCTGTTCAGCCAGTCCCCTGAGGAGGGTGCCATGTTGGACGGACCCCTCGCCGGGCTGCCGGAGCAGGCGCAGCGCCAGCCGCCGCATCAAGTCACAGCAGGTCAGCTGAAACAGCGCACGGCGCGGTCAGCGGAGGGATAGTCCCGCGACCCAGTGCCTTCAGTGCAGTCCCCTCGGGCTCTAACGCACGCACGGCGGAGTTACACAGGTGATCCCGTTCCCAGACCAGCCCAGGTCAGCAACCCAAGCACCCGCTGCCTACCACTGGCACACGTTTGCCGGAGACATCGGTATTCAGCTACCACTTCTGACGGGAAACACCAGGATTAGAGACCACGGCTGGAGACCTCCAAAAATGATTAAGCGCTAACAACCATCGAGCAGAAGCAAAATCTCTGAACTTGTGCGTTATTGTGATGGCGTGCCACCGATACCGGAGGGCACACCGTCTCGCGCCCGCTCACCCAGGGCGGCCTCTGGTCCGTCTCCTGCGCCAGCCGGCGGGCAGGCACCACCAGGAAGCGTCGCACGGCCTCCAATAGCGGGGCCAGCTGCGAGCTCGGCCCCGCCCACAGCGACGCCAGCCGACCAATCAGAAGCCGCTCCAGGCCCGGCCGGAAACGGCCGCCGTCCGCCGCCGCGAACACCGTTATCACCTGACTCCAGGCACCTGTGGGTTGACGTCACTGGTCATCAGCTGACTACAACAAGATGAGCATTGCTCATTCCAGACACATGACCGCGACGTCGTTGGTTCGAAGCTAGCTACAAACACCTGCATTATGATTCTGAAGGTGGCTGGCTGCCCAAAACATATGTAACATTACACTGCTGGCCACCAGCAAGCTACATATACCAATGGTGTGATGTCACCACATACTGACTGACTCCAGGCACCTGCAGTGTGATGTCACTGGGTGCCACCTGACTCCAGGCACATACAAAGTGACAAAATAGGTTGTCAGCTGACCCATGCCACTTGGCATCACAAGTACAGACACATAGTGATTATCAGAGGCACACCTGAGCTCTCTGCCCAGCATCTGCCAGCCATGTGCTGAAGACAGTCGGTGACCACAGTGACCAGGGTAGGGCAGAGCACTGAGTCAGCCTCCAGCGCTGCACAGGAGTGAGTCACCGATTCCAGCACCTGTGGCAGATGCAGTTCTGTGAGCAAAAGATGGCGTTCAAAACCATGGGTCCACAAATGGCCAGCTTGCAACTGGTGTACATGGAAAGGCAGTTTAATGATGATCACATGTCTAAAGGACCAGTTGGTGGTCACCAGGAGAAAACACTGCTACTCAAAAGACCAACAAGAAATGCTTAGGCCTTTACATAGATAAAATATGCAACAACTGTGGAACAGCAATAAACAAAGCCACAAGTTCAGGTTTTCAACATAACTGAAGCCAAGCTGTGATGTTTTTAATGCATCTAATGAACACCCATTTCTGCTGAGTCATACACAGGTGTTACCTGGCTGTGATTTGTCTCCACATTGAAGAACATTTCTTCATTTGAGACAATTGATGACAGGAGGTTAAGTGCAAACTTGTACTGATATCCAGGAGCACTCTTGATATCTCCTACTTGCTTAGGGAGTGTTGACAAAACATCAGTGATGAACTGTAGAACTTCCCATTCTTCTAAGGTAGTCCAGACCATTCCATGCTTCTTCATTGCTGTCCCTTAAATAAAAATGAACATTGGTCTGAATTATGAGCCTTTAGTGTAATGCTTAATGAAATGGCTGCAATCACAAAGGGGCTACAGCCTGCCTTTTTACAGCTACATCCTTCTAAGCAGAAGGGTCACCCAAAATTTGGTGAGCTTCATTTCAAATGCTAAGCAGCTATGCATGTCAGACTGGCAAAATCACACAGGCTGCACAAGTTGGCATTTTATTGCAACACTGCTTTGTCCTCTATGCACATCATGGCAGATTTCTGAATGTAGACACAGTTAACACATGTTTGAACATACATTTATGAAGGCACTTCATAAAGATTACAAATAACAATAAAAACAGGGTATGGGACCCAGCAGGCAAAAATGAACATCCAGGGAAAAACAATAGCATACCTTTCTTGATAAATATTTTCACATCTTCAATCACCATCTCCAAAAGAACTTTGTCTAAAACATCAGCTGCTTCTGTATTCAGCACTCTCAACAGATTAACCACTGTGGAGTGTTCTGCCCTCTCATCCTCATCAATGTTGTCTTTATGCATCATGGCATCCATCCTGTGTCTGGAAATGAGCAGGTTTAATGATGTGATAGGCCTCAGTCATGGTTGACATGCTACACAGCTTAAATACATTGTCATTCATTAGCTGCATCAGGCAATAAGGGGTCTGTAGACTAGAATAGGTAACAGCCTAGCAACTAGAAGCTGACTATATACAAAGATATATCCTCAGTTAAGTTCTGTTTTTGACATAACCTTTAGGCCCATGTGATAAGTAGACCAAAGTGTGCTTGACCAAGGGAGCATATCACTCATCAGTGTGTATGTAAGATGCAAGAAGACATGCCTTGGCCAAGAGGTGTAATATTATATACCTTCTAGACATGAGTGCCTGCCCCTCCCCCCCCCCCAAAAAAAAATGCTGACTTGTGCCCTCCATGCTCCTCTGAGCCCCCTCAATACATATGAGGAGAGAGAATACTGGGCTAAACAAACAGAGAAAACGCATCTGAACTATTGGTATCCTAGGTAGTAGTCTGCCACAAACATTGTTCTGACCCACCTGCCATTTGAGAAAATGGCAAGTGGGTCAGAACAATCATCTCAGGAAAGTCTATGTTTATCCATTGTGGGTGCACTACATAGTTCAGCTATTCTAACATTTCCAGATGTACCCGAAACGAGTTTTACTAGGCATGGGGGGGGGGCATGCAAACAGGCCATGCCAATGATGCCATCATGACCAAAAACGGATACGCACTGCCCAACTGCAAAGCATATTTGGCTGCACACAGCGGCCCCATGGTTAGGAATTAGGAAACACTGACGATCCGTAACACTTCTTTTTGCACACCCCTAATCGCAAGATCCCAGATACTCGGCAGCAACACAAACCACCCACAAAATCACAGGATCTCCCGCCTTGCGGTCAAGACCGCAGCAAAGCACATAAATGTATTAGTAGCGCCAAATTGCATCACGATTACTCTTCTCAACTACTGCCAAAACTCAACCGTTGCCGTGATCTAACGGTTTATCGGGGGAGGGGGGGGGGAAGGGGGGGGGGGAGCAGACACCGATGTATCGAACTTGTCATAGCGCTCGTAAGGCTGAACTTAATAGGTGCTGGTGGACGATGATTAATCGTTACATGCACACATGAGATTCTTTGCTGCTCCATTCCAGTCATTATCCTACATTTGGTCATTCCTAGCCTAAAGCAAGCAGCCAACGCCGAGCTTCAACTCGACGCAAGCACCTCAGTTTTGCATTCAGTCCTCAGTTTCGCATTCGAGCAGCTTCGCCATTTATTTCCAATCATGCATTGAAATCCATGCATCTAAACATGACTTCACCTTTGGGTTCTACTCCTATCACATCACTAATATATTGGAAAATAAAGCTTTTTGGGGGCATTTCCATATGGCCGAGCGACGGCTGAAGCCTTGCCAGATCGTAGCTGCTGGATGGCAGCGGGACCTGGCTGAAATAGGCATATATATATATATATATATATATATATATATATATATATATATATATATATATATATGGCATGAACCGTCTAATCTGTACCAGTCATCTCATGTCCACTTTTCACAAAGCACGAACTTTCAAGCTGCGCAACCATTCAAGCCACATGTTGTTATTTGGGCCGACAGCAGCAGCTCAACGAGCATCTATGGTCGGTTTATTCGATTCGGCGTCAGTCAGCGTTCGAGTCCCTCAGCAAAAGGCATTCCTACACACAACTCTGGTCACATTTTATTCATTCCACATTCCGTCTCGGCCTTTGTTGATCCAGCGGTGACAATGAGCGTCGGCGCCGCCGCCGCCGTCACCGCGTCTATCACATTTCCCGACTCCGTCAGCGACTGCTCCTTGCCATCAGAGCACACTGGAACACCGTCCCGTTCAGTCACCTGCCCTTCCGTCACCTGGGCGTTTTCGCTGTGTCCTATTTCCTCACCACGGTCGCACTGCGATGCTTTCCGGCGTCCGTTGGACTCTGAGCCCGCTTGGCTTTCCGCCGATGGCTCCGAGTCGCCGTCCTCCGGCGCCGACGCCACCGGCTTCGGTTTCTGCTCCTTCTCCCCGCTTCCGCCCTGCTCCGCATCTGGCTCCGCTTCCAGCCCCGCCTCGAGCTCGGCCTCAGACTGCTCCTGCTCCGGCTCGCGGACGACGGCGCCCTTGCGCGCGGGCAGCACCGTGCAGAGCGCCTCCTGCCAGCTGCGGCCGGCCGCCACCTCCAGCAGGATGCAGAACACGTGGTCGATGGTCAGCACCTTGCGCGTGCGCATCTGCACGAACTGGTCGATCGGCAGACGGGCGTGGCTCAGGCCGGCCTCCTCCGCGCGCCGCAGACACAGGCCCTTGTGGTGATTGTGGTCCACCAGGCCGCCGATGACGTACGCCCGGCCCGGCTCCAGCGCCGTCAGCTCATGCTCCGACTCGCTCGACAGGTAGGTGATGCTGGCCGGGTCCAGCGCCTGCCGGAAGTGCTCGCGGTGCACGTGCACGTCCCAGTTGGCCCAGCCGTCGTTGGCGTCCATGAGTACGCGGCTGCGGCCGTCCATGCTGGAGAGGTGCAGCTGCAGCGGCCGTCGCGCGCGCCGGTTAGCGGCGTAGCAGCGCTGCACCTGCTTCAAGCACTTGCCCAGGTCGCGGTCGGTCATCAGCTCGTCGAACGAGAGGTCGATGACGACTCGCACGTCACAGCCGCCCTCTGTCATACGCGTGAGCCGCGGACGCTTGGGCGCCACGCCGGCCGCCACCGCCGCCGCGCGCTTCTCCTTGCGCCGCTGCCGCTCGGCGCGCCGTAGCTGCGGCAGCAGCGCCAGGTAGGCCTCGCGCTTTGCCAGCCGCTTCTGCTGGCGCTTGGACATGGGTGGTGGTGCCGCTTCAGTGGTGGTGTTGACGGACACGCTGTTAGCAGAGGGGCTTCCAGTCAGCACGTCAGCATCGCCTGTGTTCCCCACCTCCACACTGTTGGCGGAGGAGCTGCCGGCCCGCACGGCAGCATCGCCTCTGTTCCCCGCCTCCTGAGAGCTCAGAGCGAATCCATCTTGTGACCCAGTGCTGACCGCATGCTCAGTGACCAAAACATGGCCTTCTGATGCTGTTTCTGAACATTTCTGTTCCTTCAATGAGCCATCAGCAGCTGTTTCAGCACCATCAGAGGTCTCCATTTGTGGTTCTTGCTACAAAATCATCTGGTGTTCTGATGGCCTACAGCTTCACTCAGTCTCACTACAGCACTGTCTGGCATGTGGCACTGAACTCCAGCAAAAGTCTACAAGAAACCTGTAAAAAACAACCTGGGTAAGAAGTGACTTCAAGATATAAGGTATTTTCCAGAAATCTTACACTATCACATTCACACTATACCTGTTCACATAATTGTGGGTATATTTACCTCAATATGTATATACCCAAAGCTATATCCATATCTATATCCGGAACTATGCATTTCATACTTACCTGCCTGCCCGAATTACAATTTTCATAAATTTCCTCTGCACTTAAATTTTTTTCCTTATAGCCCTCCACTCCTATTTTGTGTGCAATAACAGCAGGACAGACCGAAGCCATCTCTTGGCTTTGTCAGTGATGGATCGCTCAGTCACATGAATTGCATCCTTCACATGACATCATCACATAACATTTCCACCATAGGGTAAGGAAAACACTAAAGAAAATATACTACACATTCAAATATAATATTCCTTTCGCATATGCAACCTTGTTTTCGACGATGCCAGCCAACTTTTAGCCGATGTGTGTTGAAACATTGGTCCCTTACATAAACCATCTTCCCCGTCAGCTTTGCTATTGCACGTTGGCGGTTCATATATGGCAGGGACGAACAATCCCATGATTAGACTATGGCGGCAAAATTTTCCACATCCACCACCCAGCAATACGCTCTATAGCTTAAAACCGGCCTCCATCTTCCATTCCCCCAACTCACCGGCTTTTACCCGATTCACCCTATCAAAATGCCGACTTTAAGCTGATACCCGCTTGGCCCACGTTGTTCTTGGCATTCTATGTGGTAGCTCTATCTCCTAACTGACGAAGGAATATTTGCAAGCAAGCTTTAGAATGGAAAAAGTTAGTCTTAAAGTGTAAAGAGAAATTCTCTGTTTCTTTTATTGTTGTTTGATCTCTCCTTAATTCTACTTTAAAGCACCACAATTTCATTATCTTATTTAATCGAATGCATATATTAGGTTCATATTATCCGAAAGATTGCAAAACGTCTTTTAGTTTACGCAATTTCACAATAATTTTCTTACTTCCCCTATTTTCTCAAAAGCTGCCAGAACACAACATCGTAACAATTCTGGTGCAGCGTTGACCATAGCGGAAAATGGGTGGTTGCAGTATGTGAAAGTATCTACTGTGCAAAATGGGCTCTCGCGGTCGCGTTGTGGGATTGTAAATTTTGCAGGGAGGTGGACACGTCGAGGTGACTGCTACGTGACATCATAGCAATTCGTTACTTGTCGTGAATATACACCGCGCATGTGCTTAAGCCGAGTGTTGTGCTTTACATGCATCCAAGTCATGCTACCCCCCTCCTTGCTCTTTTCCGAACGCTTTGGCGTGGGTGCCTGCAGCTGAGGATAGGAGCATTGTGTGGTGTATGTGGTTAGAACTTGACCATTCTTTTGTTGTGGTTAGCTCTCCACCCTTAATACTGATGGTATTGAAAATAATAAACAAAATTGAGCATTCATTTTGTAATCTTTACAAGATCCCACCCCTGTTAAACATTTTGTTCCTGTGTGATTTTCATGTCATGCATTCACCCCATACTTCTTAAATTGAATATGTAAGCATTGGGGCATTGTTCATTGTCTATCCAGAATGTGCCATAGATGAAATATTGCCATTGCAGAATGCAGAACTTGCCTCTTATGAATCTACAGATTATGCATTATTATACATGTGTTGTTTGAACTAACTTGCATACCCACTCTTGCAAATTATTTGAAATTTCCCTAACCATATGCATGAATATGCTTTCAAAAGTGCTAATAACGCACAATGATGTTGTGTATGACAGTGAATATATTTATTGACTCCCATGTTGCAGCAAATATTGTGATCATTGTCATATTGAAATTTTGCACTCTATTCACAATGGGTGAATATAGCAATTTTTTTGCCAGTTAGGTGTAAGCAATGTCAAAGTTTTCATGCAATCACACCCACCTTTGGGTTCAGTCAAAACCCAGGCACTGAACATTAGTACTGGTTCCTCCTCCCCATTACTCACTCACACACTTACATGTTCACACATTCACAAACTTACTTGTTCAAGGTTGGTGTGGATGACAGGGCTCTGTGTCAACATTCAACAGATAAGCAGCCAACAAAATGCTGTGCATTCTGAGGCTGCTGAGGTGCAATTCTAGTTGCATGCAATTATCTTTTCATTCTGTGCACCAAAGTTGATAAACATTAAAATGTTGAGGGGAGATGTGACAGAGCTGTTAAGCTGCTGCTGACAGAGCTGACAGACAAGTAACTCCAGTTTAAAGTACCACTACTTTTGAAAGGATAAGTTAACTACAGGTCATATTTCTCCAAGCACAATTGTAGAGAAATGTTTTTCGTGGGGTGTCACTGCTGCATTACTGTTTTAAACTGTCTATTAACTGTTTTAATATTGTGCTTCCTTATTCGTGATGCATGCAAGATCATCCAGCTTATGAAATGCTTTCTGGTGCCTGATGTAAAGTAAATGCTAAGCACATCATATGTGCTCCTCACACAATTAGACTTTCTGTATTTGTAGCATTCTTCAGCATTTGTATAAGAAGTGCAGCCATCCTTGATTCTGCCATACCAGAAATGTAAGTAATGTGAGACAGACACATATAATACAATAATATTCAATTTGCACAGCAGCCCAATGACCCATTGTACTTGATCCACCAGGAATCCACTGCAATACACAGCTCAGGTCTTTGTCCTGTGCTGACACCACCTGCTGACGAACATCGGACAGTAAGGCCGCGCGGGCAAGGCCAGCTATCTCTGCCCTCCACAGTCCCACCATGTTGTCACTGTGCCGCCGGGTGCCGCCTCTGCGCGCCGCCGCGGCGCGCGCCGCCAGTCAACACAGCGCGACCACGGAGGAGCAGTTCCAGCCGCTGGACGTGTCGCGGCGGCGCGAGGTGGTGAAGAAGGCGCGCCAGCGCCGCTCCACGGCCGCGGGGCCGCCGCGGTACGAGCGCCAGTCGACGACGCAGCGCTGGTCGGATGTGTGGCCGGCGCCGCGCTCCTTCCACCCGGCGGCCGTGCCGCTGCCGCTGCGCCAGGGCTTCGTGGAGCGGCCGGCGCTGTACGTGACGCCCGGTAAGTACGCCAACGCCGAGCTGATGAAGGTGGCCAACATGCTGCACCTGACGCCGCCGGCCGTGGAGCGCCACTGCAAGGCGCTGGCGCGCTTCTGCACCGCCTGGCCGGCGGCGCTCACCGACGAGCGGCTGGAGCAGCTGCGGCCGCTGCGCGTCGTCACGCAGGATTTCGTGCACGCGACGCCGACGGTGCGACACCCGGACGCGCGCGTCGTCGCCGTCCGGCTGCCCGTGGACCGGCTGCTGCTGACCCCGGCTGACCGCGACAAGCTGCTGCGGCTGGTGGGCGAGCGTTTTGATGTGCAGACTGGGCTGCTGACGCTCGTGGCAGACCGGTGTCCGTACCGACGACAGAATCGCGACTACGCACTCTATCTGCTGACGGTGCTCTACTTTGAGAGCTGCAAGCGCGAGCCGTGGGAGGCGCTGCGCGTGGACGCCGACGCCGAGGAGTTCGTCTGGGAGGGGTCGACTTCGCAGGCCGCCGTCCGGCGGCTGGGGACGTCCGAGCGCTGGCTGGGGACGAACGCGGGACAGGCAGGGCCGACTAACGGTCGGACGGGGACGGAGGAGGCCCAGATGGGGACCGAAGAGGGCCAGGCGGTGACGGAGGAGACCCAGCTGGGACCGGAGGAGAGCGCCGTGGTGCGCGAGTACGCAAAAGCCGTAACGCAGCTGCACAATGTGGGCGAGGACGAGGCGAGCTTGGCGGCGTACCGCCGGGCGGTGGTGGCGCTGCTCAGCCTGCCCGAGCACGTGGCCGCCCATTGACGCCGCCGCCACCTGGCGGAGGCCTGGGCTCTTCTCAGGCCTTCCCGCGTCAGCGGCCGGGAGACGGCGCGGCTTCGCTGGCGGCGCGCTGACGGCAGTGCCGTCCCGGATGAGCACGGCTCGAGCTGGCGCGTCGGTGAAGGCAATGTGACGGCCATGTCGCGACGGAGTACGGGGGGCGGCCCCTGTACGTCACGGGTGGCGTTGACTACTGTCGTACTGTCGTACTGACTGCTGTCGTACGCACCGATCGTCGCACCGAATGCTGACCGTTGCCGCTGACGTAATGGAATAGATAATTGTGTGATGGGTGCGAGACTGAGTCGTTGTGAGTGAGAAGGCTCCGGGTGCATCCCTCGTCCGGCTCTGGATGTGGATTCTGCCGAGCTAGAGGCAAGGTGGAGTGTATGCCGAGCAGGTCGAGGTGGGCCGCAGTGTCGGCCGTAATAAACGAACGCCTTTCTTGTATTGTGATGAAGAAGAAACTTGCCGAATCGCCTGTGGCCGTCACCGCTGTAACAATGCTTTCCGTATGTTCAGAGGTTCACTCCCGATAGGCGTTACGTTGACATGCTTCGACCAAGTTTTGCCTTGGCCACAACCCGCTTGCTTAGTCGCCTGCCCCCCCCCCCCCTTCCCTTTCCCTCTTTCCTTTCGAAGCGCCGAAGAGTTACGCCGCCGCACGAAGAGCAAACCACCAGAACAAGTCGCTGTGTTTATTGTCGACATCAGGGGCCACCCACCATGAAACACTGCACTCCGCCGCGCATACTCGGCTGCTCATCGCTACGCACTCACCCCTAGTCTAGTTCAGTTACGCTCTTTCTCCCAATGCCGCTTGAGCTAGGAGGACACGCCGGTGTCTTACTATGGCTGGTGCGCCGGTGTGCGAGCTCCCGCCTCACGTAGGCCGATCTCCAGAGCCGAAGTGGCCGCGCCAAACATCTCTCGGACCACGATGAAGTATGAACAGGATAAATTATAACGGAAATTGTACGGCGTGCAGCGGCTTCTCTTTAGCGCTGGCAACCAATTGTGATGAAAATATTCCGGTTTTGCGACGGGGTGCACGCAGGCAATTAGAGCTGGCCACGTGGCGTGTAAAAGCCGACAATTGCTACACTGCTCCGCCCACATTCGATATCCCGAGAACTGCTGACCGAGTTTTACAGTCGGCTGTGGCTGTTTGTCTTTTGTCTCCTGCGCCCTCCGTGGGCTCCGTTAAGCTCCGGTGTCCCGCGCACCAAGCCCGTGGACAGGCCTGGTGCGCGACGGCACCACGCCATGTCACCACCTGGTGCCGGGCCCGTTGTCCAGCGCCTGCCTCGTGCCGCGGCACCACGCCGCGCCACGGCAGCGCACACCAACACCGCGAGCGCTCCCAACAAGATTCCCGTGATCAATACCGATGATGATGCAAGTAGGTCTAACAAGGGGCTCAGAGAAGACGAGAACCAGCTGGGGCCAGGCTGGCCGGCCCCGCGCCCGCGTCCAGTGGCGTCATCTCGGCCGGAGTGACGTCACCGGTCACTGGATGCAGTCGGATGCCTCGGCCCAGTTGCACGTGCCTCCGATGGGGTCGAACACGAGACCCCGCGGACAGCTGTACACGTTGCCCGTGGCAACGCCCTCGTAGCGCGCCACGCAGCGCACGAACTTCTGACACGACCTGTTGACAAACGGAAGCGAAAGCGTGTCAGCGAACTGCGGCACTCGAGACAGTGTGTCAGCGCGATCTAGTCACGCGGTCTGGCGATACAAACCGCTGAGTCAGATAACTTGAGCACTATCCAGATTCAGCAAGCAGCTCGAATCATATTTTCATTAGTTAGGGACATTAGCGGGCCATTTCTTATGACTGCATGCTAGCGCAACGATCTGACCATCACTGGTCAGATTTACCACTGGTATATCCTCGCGGCATTTTCAACGTCATTTTATATGTATATGCCATTATTTCCATTCCCTTGCATGGAAATGAAAATTTACACATTCGCTTTTTTATCGCCACAATTGGTAGATTTCGGTGCGTATCGCACCGACCGCGAACAATTGAGAGCCTATTACTCCGCACTTTAACCCTCCCAGAGCACCCGCAACGGATCGCTCGCCGAAAACCAGCGTGGTTGCGGCGCCGCCTGGAGCCACGCTGCCTCCCACCGCCGCCATCGACCTCCACTGACCTGGGGTGAGCGAAGATGCCGACATCCCTACACGCGACCCGACCGAACTCGTCCACGTAGGCGCCGTTGTAGCCGTTCAGCCGTCCCGTACTCAGGTGACCGCTCAGCTCCTGCTGAGCCTTGCCGTCCAGCACCTCGGAGGCGCTGGTGAGCGGGCCGGTCCAGAAGGCCTTCGGGTCGGTCGTTGGACCTGGGTGTCCCGCCATCACCGCCGCCGCCGCCGCTGCCGCCGGCTCTTCTGCCGCCAGAGAGGTCTGCTCCGGCTCCGTCGCCGTCGCCTCCTCGTCGGACAGCTCGTTGCTCAGGGACAGTGGCCGACGCTGCGTGAACCGACTGCTGCTGGCGAACGGGCCGCCGTCGTCGGGGTCGGCCGCGCCGCCGGCGGGGTCGGAGGCGCCGCCGGCGGGGTCGGAGGCGCCGACCTCCGCCGCCAGGTCGGCGGGAAGACTGCTGCCGGCCGGCAGGTCGGCCGCCAAGCTACGCACGTACTCGTCGTCGTAGTAGTAGTCGTCGTCATAGTCGTACGCAAGGTAGTCGGGGCTGCCGGTGGTAGTGGTGGTGGTAGCAGTGGTGGTGGTGATGGTGGTGGAAGCGGTAGTGGTGGTGGTAGCAGTGGTGGTGGTAGTGTCGCGGTGGCCGCTGGTGGCCAGGTGCTCTGTGGAGGTCACCGGCTGCTCCGTCGGCGGTGCCGTCTGCCCCTCGGTCGCCACCTCGCTGGGGACGGTCGCCGCGGCGGCCGGCTCCGTCGGCGCGATCTCACCGTCGGCCGGCTCCGTGCTCGCCTCCGGCAGCGCCGCCTCGGTCGGCAGGACCGGCGCGACCTCCGTCGCCGGGGAGTCGCTCCTCAGTCGGTCAGGCCGCTCCGGCCGCCGCCTGGCGCCGGCGGGCGGCGAGAGCAGCTGTGCGCCGACCCGCTGCCGGCCGGTGCTCACCACACTGCTGCGCACCGACTCCTCCGACTGCAGCAGCTCGGACGCCGGCTCCGGCCGGCGACGCGCGCTGATGCGCACCCGCTGCGGTCGTCGCCGAGCCGCCCGCCCGCCGCCAGTCTGCTCCGGCTCCCGGACCGGCTCCGGCTCCCGGACCGGGGCTGCGGTCGGAGCCGGCTCCGGCTCCGGCGCGGCGCCGTTGATGATGCGCCGGTTGATGCGGACCCGGCGGCGCCGGTCGAAGCTCGGTGCGGCGAACGGCGTGGTGACGGGACTCGACGGCGCCGGCGCCGGTGTGGTGGGGGCGGCGGCGAGCGTCTGCGAACCCACCGGCACGAACCGCACCACCTGGCGGCGAATCACGAACGGCGTCGTGGTTCCAGCGTCCGACCGCTCAGTGAAGCCATCGCCAATGGAGCCGGCGTCCACTCCGACGCTGAACTCGTCACTGACGAGCCCAGTGTCCGATCTGTCCGTGAAGCCAGCGCCGCTGAAGCTGCCGCTGTCGAAGCCAGAGCTGGGCCTCTCGGTGAACGAGCCGTCGTTGAACTCTGAGATCGTCGGGTCTGTGAATCCATCGCTGCTGAACTCGGGCCTTTCAGTGAACCCGTCACGGCTGAACCCGGGCCTGATCGTAACTCCACCTCCGCCGAACCTGGCGCCCGACCGTTCGGTGACCGTCTCCTCATTTAAGTCCTCCAGCACGAACGGCTGCTCCGTCTGGAGCCGCACCAGGTGCGCATCAATCTCGGCGGCGCGCGCCTCGGCCGCCGCGTCGGGCGTGGCGCGCCCGAACGCCGGCGCCACACTGATGATCGCGCGCGCCGACGTGCCGCGCGGCTCGTCGAACGGCGCGCCAAAAGTGCGCGCCGTCACGTCCTCGATCACCTGGCGCGCGGCGCTGCGCAGTTCGGGCTCGGGCTCGTCCCGCGCCGGCAGCGTCGACGGCAGGCGCGGCCGGAAGGCAGCCGGCCGGCGCAGCGGCGGCGGCGCCGCCGGCCGCGGCGAGATGCCGCCACGCGGCGCCGGCGTCGACGCCAGCAGCGAGCTGAGCGTGGAGCTCTCGACCAGCGTGATCTCGGAGGTGGGCGAGAGGCCGGGCCGGTTCTGCACGATCAGCCGTCGGTCGCCGCCCGGCTGGCTGATGACGGTGCCGCGGCCAATGATCTCCGGCGCCGCCGAGCCCGGCTTGCGGCGCACGAACACGGCCGTCTTCTCGATCTTGCGGTCAAACAGCTCGCGCAGCTGCTCGCGCGTCATGTTGTCCGTGTCGGCCGAGCGGAGGAACTGCTCGAAGCGCGACTCCAGCTCGTCGCCGCCGGCCGCCGGCGCCGCGCTCGGCTGCGGCCGCTCGCCGACCGTGGCAGTCTCCTCGCCGGCGGGCTCTGTCGTCACCTCCGGCTCCGTGACGGGTTCCGTGGTCGGCTGAGAGGGGAGCGCCACCGTCGGTCGCCGGCGACGGCTGCTCAGCGCGTTGCGGCGCGCCCCACCGACGGGCCGGCGGGAGAGTGAGCTCAGGCGAGAGGGCAAGCGACGGCCGCGGCGTCCGCTGGGTGGCGCCACCGCCGACTCCTGGCTCTTCTCCTGCTCCTGTTCTTTCTCCTGTTCCTGCTCCTGCTCCTGTTTCGTCTCGGGTTCCTGTGGCTCCCGCTGGATGGTGCGTCCAAGGGATGGCCGCCGCCTCCTGGACGGTCTTCTCGCCCTGCCTCGGGTGAGGGCCGGCCGGGTCCGCTCCTGCTCCTGCTGCTGCTCCTGCTCCTCCTTTTGTTCCTGCTCCTGCTCCTGCTCCTGTCTCTGTTCCTGTTCATTGACGGATCCTGGTCTGGTTCTGCCCCGGCGGCCGAACGACGGCCGTCGACGGGCTGGCCGGGGCGTGGTGGTGGTGGTGGTGGAAGTGGTGATGACCGTCTCTGCCCCTGCCTCGGCCTCGGCGGCGGCAGCGGTCGGCGCGGCGGTCGGTCGCTGCCTTCGCCGGGACGAGGACCGCAGCCGGTTCACCCGGCTACGGCCTCTGAAGCGGCGGCTGCCGCGCGTCGGCACGATCTCGTTCTCCTCTGCTGCCGCCTGCCCCTCCGTCTCTGCGGCGGCGGCGGCCTCCGTAGGAGCGGCGGGGGCCTCCGCCCTCTCCCTAGACGGTGCGCCGCCGGGTGGTCGCCGCCGCCGGCCGAGTCGCTGCCGTTGCCGATCCAGCAGCGACTGGATCGTGGTGGCGCTGAGTATGGGGCGCAGTGTGGTCACCTCATGCTCCTCCTCTTCCTCCGGCTGCGAGGTCGGCTCGAGAGCGACGGGCGTGGGAGTCGTGGTCTCCACAAACGGCCGGAAGCTGGACGTCACTTCGGGCGTCTCCTGAACGGTGGTGTCCTCGAAGAACGGCTGGAACGCGGTTGTCTGCTCCGCGAAAGGCTGGGACTCGGTGGTCTGCTCCAAGAAGGATTGGAACTCGGTGGTCTGGTCCAAAAACGGCTGGAACTCCGTGGTCTGCGACTGGAACCCGTCGCTCTGCGGCCGGAACCCGTCGCTTTGCGGCCGGAACCCGTTGCTCTGCGATTGGAACCCATCGCTCTGCGATTGGAACCCGTCGCTTTGTGACCGGAACCCGTCGCTCTGCGGCCGGAACCCGTCGCTCTGCGATTGGAACCCGAACCCGTCACCCTGCTGCTCAAAGAAGGCGGCGTCGGGCTGGCGCGGCACCGGCCGGAACGAGCGGATCGTGGCCGGCGTGCGCCGCTGCGTGGTCGGCCCCGGCTCTGCTGTCACGTCCGTCTCCACGGCCGCCTCCGTCGGCCGACCTCTGCGCTGGTTCAGCGCGTTCAGCACCCTGATCGGCGGAACGACACGACCGCCCCGCCGGCGGCTCTCGTCGCGCGGCGCCTGCGCCGGGGGCGCCACCGTCGCCGCCGGTGGCGGCAGCGGCCTCAGCGTGCTGTCCTCCGGCAGCGAGAAGTCGGCGTCCGCCGGCGCCAGCGGCCGGTAGGTGGTGCTGACCACGCGCCTGCCGTCGTCGTCCTCGATGATGACCACGTCCTCATCCACGTCGCCGGCGATGTCGTACTCGTACTCGGCCACCTCGTAGCCGTCTGGCACATCCACGAAGTCGATGTTCTCGGTGGCGTCCGCGGCGGATGTCTTGCGGGGAGCTTCCGTCGTTGGCCCCCGCGGAGGGAGTCTCTCCAGCCGCCGAGGAGGGAGCCTCTCTAGCTCTCGCGGCGGGGTGATTTCGGACTGCCGAGACGGGAGCCTCTCCAGCTGTCTCGGCGGGGTGATTTCGGACTGCCGGGACGGAAGCCTCTCCAGCTGTCTCGGTGGGGTGATTTCGGACTGCCGGGACGGAAGCCTCTCCAGCTGTCTCGGAGGAGTCCTCTCCGTCTGCCTCGACGGCAGCCTTTCCAGCCGCCGGGGCGGCGTGTTCTCCGGCTCCGTCTCCACCTCACTGGGCGGCGCGCGCGACACCGGCGGCGGGCCGCGCTGCGCGCCGCGCGCCGGCACCGCTGTCTCCAGCCGGTCGCTCACGGCCTGCACCGGCGCGGCAACGTCGAGCGAGCGACCCTCCTTGGCCAGCAGCAGCTGCTTGGCCAGAGCGATCTCCGCCCGCAGCCCCTCTAGCTCCTCGGCGGCGATCTCACGCACGCTGCCGTCCGGATACTCGAACACGTAATCGTAGTAGTAGTCGTACTCGGGCTCCGCGTCGGTCAGCTGCGGTGCGTCTGGCGCGAAGCCGCGCACGCCCTGGTGAGCTGGCTTCGCCAGCTGCTGGTCGGGCTCGGCCGACAGTGGCGCCACCTGCGCCGGCGACGAGGTCGGCGCCGATCGGGCGGTGGTGGTGGTGGTGGTGGTCGGAGTCGTGGTGGTGGTGGTGGTGGTGGTTGTGGTGGTGGTAGTGGCGGGGGTAGTGGAGGGTGCCGGTCGGTCTCTCTGAGACCCTCGGCCGCGCGAGCGCAGGCGGTTCCTGGACGAGCCGCGCCTCTGAAAGAATAGCAGATCGTACTGTAAGTGCCAGGGGATGACGTCATAGAGTACGTCAGAATTCCACAGCCCTATCTTGGTGGCGTCAGGTTTGGGAAGGTTGCGGAACCAAAAACTTTTGCATGTTAATTACACTTACTGATCCAGGCGGCAATGGCTTTGCTTAAGACTTTTGCGGAACAATGTCGTGCAGGCGCTGAATCAACGTTGAATAATGTTCGAACACAGCGCGTTCACAGCGCAAAATCAGCACCGGTGCTCTCATCGCTTCCCTGTGCTCCAGCCCACAGCTAGGTAACACGCCGCCTGCCGCCCTTAAGAGGACGCCGTCGGCCCAGGCTTCGATTCGAAGCACCTTCACATCGCCCTCCACTGCCCATCGGGACTCTCTCGCCCCGCGGACACCGCGGCCGTCCACAGGCCGCAGCCGCTGCCGAGCCTCACCGCGTCGGCCGGCGACGGTCTGCGGAGCGTCGGCCGCCTCCGCTGCGGCTTCTTCGGCGGGGCCTCCTCCTCCGCCTCGGCCTCCTCCTGACCGGCGGCGGCGGCCGGCGCGTCCGTCGTCGTCAGGCGGGGTGGGAGGGTCGAGGTCAGGCGGAATTGCTGGGGCGCGCGGTTGCCCGGCCGGCGGATCGTCACACCCCGGTTCACCTAGAGAGGGAGGCAGACTGAGGAGCGCCGCACCGGCCACGCGCCGCTGGGAGGTGTGATGACGTCATCGAAGGTGTGCCAGTATCGGTGTGAGCGTGAATAATTCTGGTCTAATTTCGTGACGGTGGCTGATTTGGGGTCAGAGACGCACTACGCATTCATGATTGCCTTGATTCAGATTTGACAAGTGTGCCCGGAACCAGTTACAGGGATTCAACTTCAGTCCCAACTAACTGCATATTATACAGACCGTGAGTTGTGCCTACATGCCGTACACGTACACGTATGATTATTCAACAACCGTGAATCAACCCATTTGGAATCAAGCCATACTATGTAACCCAACATAGATTTAACCAAACCATGAAAGCAACCGAACTATCCTACAATCCTTTCAATTCAACCGATTCCAAGGTGATTTTGTCTGTACAAGAAATCAACACAACCCTGAGTACCACGAGGCAAAAGTATGAAAGATGCACGCATAAACAAACGTCGTGTGTCTATACACTCTATACAGCGTAACACTTTAGCGGCAAAATTTGAGTCATCCCCATCATCTAATGGAGGCGAATCAACTATACACAAACAAAGCAATCGATTTGTGCCAGCAACCACAACCAAGCCACGTTCCCAGCTACCAGAAGCGTGTCACCCCCACCAAGCAGAGCTCTACATGTGCCGTTGCCATGGCAGCGCGGACGGCGGCCGGTGCGGCAGGCGGAAGGTCAAGGTGAGGTGACGTGCCGAACAGGGGCGGAGGCCATGACCTACCTGTGACCGAGGCGGGAAGGAAGGATAGCCCAGAGCAGCGGGTGGGAGTGTCACCAGGAGTCAGGAACAGGCGTTCGGGGTACGTCAGGAGCGCAACAGCCCATCCGGGGCTTATCTCAAGCGTGCGAGTCGTGTCCCCTGAAGGTCAATGTCACCGATTCGTGCAAGACGACTGCCGGTCAGTACATTCGGTACCGCGTTTGTCGTAAGCAACCCCGAGTGACATTGTCTGTCCTTGGGCAGCTTCAAAATGGCTCGGGTGACCTCAAGAGATCTAAAGTGACCTCGGGTGGTCGAGAGTGACCTCAGGTGTCCTCAGATTACCGCAGGCGCACGAAGAAACCTCAGGTAATCCCAGGCGAGCTCAGATAATCTCAGTTGACCTCTAGTGACCTTGCTTGACCTCGAGTGACCTCAAACGGTGCGGAGTGACCTCATGACATCTCAGGGAACCCAATGTGAGCCGTGGTGAACTCATGTCACGTCGACTGGTGAGGGGTCCTCCTCCTCAGAGGAACGAGATGCCCAGAGGGTGCCTCTTGACCCAGCTCGTGCCGCATGTCTCGTGCTCGCTTTCGTGGGGTGGCGTGGTCTCATCAGCGCCGCTCGCTGCTGCCGGTAGCGCGGTGTGCGTGGCGCGCGCTCTCCACGGCCATTGCCATGGTGATGCAGCTCCCTGCGGCAGTAGCCATGGTGATGCAGAGTACTTACGCGGCTCCGGCCGGCCGCCGGTGCGCCTCTATCGCGCTGCAGCGCCACCCATCTCACTCAGCTGGGTTGCCCGGGCCGTCCAGCAGCGACAGTCATAGGTCACGAAGTTGCCATGTGCACGGTCAAATATAGTCACATCGTCGCATTATATTGTCGCTCTTTGCGCAATCTCTTCAGTTGTCCCGCTGTTAGCTTACGACATACGCAGACAAAAGCGTGAAAAGGACGTTCGATGAGCACATGACGCACTTCACATTCGTGTAACAGAACAACAAACAAAAGAGTAACACATGAGTATAAAAACATGTCAAAGACACAGGGTAACTTAAGGAAGCATTGAGCAACATTCCATTTGGCTCAGTTACGCACATTCGACCTGTTATTTCACCAGAGAGTTGAGTATATGCGACGGAGTGATATCTGGCCAGTGCTATTACTGAATGGAACGTTCACGTATTCAGACCGCACACGCAGCCGGAAACGTTCGACAGCGTCCACACGACGCAGAACTTCATCCTTTCTAGCAAGCCGGTCAGGACGGGTCGTTTTGGTGGGTCGGTCGAAACTTAGCGTTTCCAGTGCCTGAGAACATGGTGCGCGCGTGTGACGTCTCTTCAGAGGTCAGGCGGGGGAACGCAGGTGCAAACTGTGCTTTTGAGCAGAAGATTTTCCCGGCACGTCTCGCACGACTGAGTATGTAGAGCGCAGATCTGGTGAGTGGTGCGCGCTTCGCAAATGTCCTCCAAGCAGCTTCGTCTAAAATTATGCCGAGCCTCCGCCGGCGTCTTCGCTACACTTTCGCTCGCTCACGCTTCTGCCATCTGACACTTGACATCACCTGCTCGGCCTCCACACGCCGCTCGTCTTCACCAGGCACGCAGGCGAACGCGGCAAGCGCACGCGCCCACCACCGAATGAGCACCACAAGCTTCGCGACGTCTTCTTATCTCTACGACCCGGCGCCGCCGCCGTTAGCCGCCAGTCACACCTGCCGCGCCGCGGCCGCTGGACACCCTCCCGAGTGCGGTCCGACGCCTCCGCGTCGGGCGGCGACGCAAGCTCCCTCTGCCGGCGGCGCTCACAAGCGGACCGCGACCAGCAGCGCGCCCCCGAGCGCGAGCGTGGTCGCCAGCGGGCCGGGCGCCGCCGCGCCGGCCGCGCTGTCCAGGAACGTCTTGCGCTTGAAGAGGCTGTCCGGGTCGCGGTAGCGCGGTGTGACGGTCGAGTAGGCGAGCACTTCCTCCTGGTCAAAAAGGTCGGGCTTGGGCGCCGCCGGCCGGCCGGCGCTGGCCGCCAGCACCGGCGGCGGCTTGTTGAGCAGGGACGAACTCTGCGCCTCCCCGGCGGCGTGGTCGGCGTGGTCGGCGTGGTCGGCGTGGTCGGCATCTCCGTCCTCGTGCTCGAGCTCGCCCCGCGGCAGGGGCGAGGTGGGCCGCGCCGCGTCGTCCGCCCACATTGTGAAGAGCGCCTCCACCGGCGAGACGGACGGCCGCGGCGACGTCGCCGCCGCCGCCGGCTCGAACGCCACCTGCTCTGGCGGCGGCGGCGACTCCGACTCCGACTCGGACGACACGCTGACCTTGACGGAAACGAACGACTTGCCGCCGGGCGCGGCCGGCGGCGGCAGCGTCGCCGCAGTCACGATGACGGCGCCGTCATCGGCGAACAGCACCGGCCGCTGCGACGCGGCGGACGACGGGCCCACCACCAGGATGCGGCTGTCGCGGTCGGCCCCCGGCGCCGACGTGGCCGGCTCCGACGAGGCGGACGAGACCGCGGCGGCCTCCGTCGACTCCTGGTCGGCGTCAGTGCTGGTGATCGTTTCCGTCGCCTCCTCTTCGGTGGCGGTGGTGGAGACCGCAGCCCCCTCTGTCGTCTCCTGCTCTGCTGTGGTGGAGACCGCGATCTCCTCCGTCGTCTCCTGCTTGTCGGCGGTGGTGGTGGAGACCGCCGCCGTCTCTGTCGTTTCCGGCAGCGTGGTGCCCTCTTCAGTGGCGTCCTCGGCCGTTGCCGCCTCCGTCTGCGGCACCGGGCCCTCCAGCGTCACCGACGTCGGTGCCGCGATCACCTCCGCCAGGGAGCCCCCCTCAGTCGTCGCCGCCGTCTCCGCCGTCTCCGCCGTCGCCGCCGTCTCCGCCGTCGCTGTCGTTCTCGTCGTCGTCGCCGTCGTTGCCGTCGTCGCCGTTGCCGCGGCGCCCTCGGTCGCCGTCGGCCGCTCGGTGGGCAGCTCCAGCCCCTGCTGCTCGGCGATCGACGAGCGCAGCTGCTCGGCCAGGCTCGGCCCGTCAGACTTCTTGCTCTCGTCGCGGCTCTTCACCAGCTGGAACAGACTGAGGCGCGGCCGGCTGGTGCCCGACTGCGGCACGCGGCGAGCCACCAGCCCCGGCGGCACCGCCGCCAGCTGCTCCCGCTCCGTCGGCGCCGTCGGCGGAGGGTCATCGCGCGTCGTCGTCTCGGGTTCGTCTCGCGGCTGTTCGGTGCTCGGCGCTGCGGCGGCTGTGGTGCTCGGCGCGTCGCTCGGCTCGGCTGGCTCGTCCGTGGCGCTCGGCAGCGGCGAGATGAAGGGGTTCGGCCGCCGCTCGCCGCCCGACAGCCGTTCGCGCAGGGTGCTGGGGCGCCTGCCGCCGGGCGGGCGGAACGGGAAGGGCCGCGGCCTCCGCGGCGCCGCCTCGCCATCCGGCTGCTGGCTGCGCAGCTCGAACACCGTCTGGCGCGGGATCGTCTGCTCCTCGACCGCCGCCTCCTCGGCGACGGCCTCAGTTGCCGGCGCTGCCTCGGTGGCGGCCGCCTCCGTGCTGGAGGTGGTGGCGGGCGACTCCGGCTGCTCGGCCGGCGGCGGCGCGGCGGCGGCGGCCGGCGGTGCCGGTCGCCGCCGGCCCACTGTCAGCGGGCTGGGGCGCTGCCGCGTGCGCGAGAGCGGGTCAGGCCGCTCGCGGCGGCCGGCCAGCGGGCGGGGGCGCAGACGACCCACCACCGCCGACGCCGCCGTCGTGGCCGGCTCCTCAGCCTCGGTGGTTGTGGTGGTTGTGGTGGTGGTGGGCCTGGGCCGGACGCGGCGCAGGAGACCGCCACGCGCCGGCCGCGCGGTCGTCGTCGGTTCATCGGCCACGCTCGGCTCGGTAGGTGGCGGGCTGTCGTCGAGCGGAGGGAACGTGTTGGAGGCGCGCCGCCCGGTGGTCGTGATGGCGGCCAGCTCCTGCTCCGTCAGCTGCAGCCCGTCCTGCGCGCTCAGCTGGGGTTCACGGGGCGTCGGCCGCGGTCGGAGGCGGCCTCGGCCACGTCCGCGCCCGCGACCGCGCAGCGAGGTTGTCTGCCCGGGCAGTGCGAAGCGCACCGAGCCGCGTTCTGTCGTCACGGCCGCCTCCTCCGCCTCCTCCTCGGCGCGCCGCTCGGTGGTCGCCTCGACCTGCGGCCGCCGAGGGCCCGGCCGCAGCCGGTTCCGGCCGCCCGTCCTGAAGCGGCGCCCGCCGGTACGGCCCCGCCCCGGCGTCGGCGTCGGCGCCGGTGTCACCTCCTCCGCCGGTTCGTCAGCGGCGGTGGATGGAGGCGCGGCCGTGGTGCCGCGGCGCCGGCTGCCCAGCCGCCGGCGGCCGGCGCCGAGCCGCGAGAGTCGACCGCGCGCCCCGCCCCTCGCGGGTGTCGGAGCCGCCGTTGTAGTCGCCGCTTCCTCCGCGCGCGGCGCTTCCTCCGATGGCGGCGGCGGGTCGGCGCGCTCCGTCAGCTGGTTGGAGACTTCGGCGGGCGCCGTCGGCGTCGGCGTCGTCGGCGCGATCGGCGGCGCGTCGCCGCCGTCGTCGATCGTGACCTCATTCTCGCTGACCTCAGGCAGCTGGCTGGTGGGCGGCGGCGGTGTGGTGACGCGCCCGCCCCGGCCGCGCGGCCGTTTCAGGCGAATAACCTTGACCCGGCGCTGACCGGTAGGGTCGACGGTCGTCTCCTCCACGCGATCGCCAGAGCGGATCGGACTCTGCGGCGGCCGGCGCACGCGCACGCGGATCCGCGGCGGCGTGCTCTCCGTCTGCGCCTCGGCCGCGTCGGCGTCGGCGTCAGTCGCGTCCGTCAAGAGGTCGTCGGCGCGCGCGATGCGGGCGTCGGTTAGTTGGCTATCGAACACAGAGATGTCGCTAGCGTCGGAGTTAGCGGGAGCGCGGCCTGCGAACGCGTTGAGCAGAGCCAGCGCCGGGTCGACGGGCGGGTCAGGTCGTGAGTCCGTCACCTGGAACCGAGCGGGGCGGGGCGTCAGTACACCCCCGCCGCTCGGAGCGCGGCCCAATCGGCGCCAGTCGGGTCTTGGAAGGCGTGGGCGGAGGCGTGGCCACCGTCGGCGTGGCTGACCGGACCCAGGGTCCAGCGCCGGACCGGGCTAGACAGCCGCCTCCGCGTCGGCTGACTTCTCACGACGCGTGGCCACTCAGCGGTCCAATTTTGGCCAGCGCCGAAATCGGCGTTGGCCAGTCTGAGGTGGTGGTGGTTCTGGGTACAGGGTGTAGTCCTTGAGCTATTTAAAGCGTTAGTCCAGTGGCCACACCACCTCCCTTCCAAAACCCGACTGATTAGGCCGATAGCAATCTAGCACAAACTAGCACACTATAAGCAAATACTAACGTGCAAGACCAAACCACTTGCGTTTTCACTCCCACCCCTTCCTACCACGTCGTCTCCATTGTCAAAAATATCTCCCGTCTGGGGGTTGGAGCCGCCGCCATGGCTACGTCGACACCAGAGGCACGTCTTTGTACGTCTTTGCAAGCCTGTTCCACCACCAGCAATGCACAGGCTTCGCAAGCCTCAGCTGCCACCCGAAACCGGCTGGCAAAATCCCACGACCGTTCACAAGCCGCCAGAGACGCCCGGCGTCGATCCGAGGGGACCAGGCCGCCCAGGCCACCCGTCTGGCGCTATAACACAGCAGCTGCAGGGATCACACTGACCCCCGCAAGGGGCCGGAACCGACCCTGACAGGAGTCGGACGTCTTCAGGGGTCAGCCGACCCTGGCACGGGCCAGCTCTGACCCTGGCAGTGGCCGGTTCTGACCCTGGCAGGGGTCAGGCCAGGGGCCGGAACCGACCCTGGCAGGGGTCTGCCCCGTCAGGGGCCGGGACTGACCTGCGGTCGGCGGCGGCTCGGCGGCTGCCGCTCCGGAGCGCCCTCCAGCGGCGGCGGCGGTGTGGTGGGGCGCGGCCTACGCAGGCTGACGTACCTGTCAACAGCCGAGCGCCGGCTCCTTTAGCGCCGCACAACAGCCGACGAATAGCAAGGCGGCAGGAGAGCCGCCAGTGGAGACATGGCGGAAGCAGGCTCGGCTTGTGGTCCGAGCAAGCTGCTGCTAGTGAGGCGCCACTGTTCTCCAAGCCCCCCCCCCCCCCTCCCCGGAAAAAAGGCAGAGAAACCGAGTCGTCCCAGAAGTGCGCAACGAAAGGAGCAGCAAGCTCAAAAACGGCAAAACGACGCAAGGTGATAGGGCTGGGCGTGAAACGTCGGACACTACGCAACCGATGGCTGATCATGATCGAACGGAACCAGAACGAGTTCGCTTGATTGAAATAAACGCTGAGCCGTCTCGACCACAACAGCGCGATCATTGATAAGTTATAATTGTTTCATTCTTAGCCCCAGCCGGACACCAGACGACACCCCAGCCGGACACCAGATGGTACCCCAGCCGGACACCAGACGGTGCCCGAGTCCGACATCAGACGGTACCCTAGTCCGACATCAGACGGTACCCTAGTCCGACACCAGACGGTACCCTGGTCCGACACCAGGCGGTACCCCAGCCGGACACCAGACGGTACCCCAGCCGGACATCAGACGACAGGTGTCCCAGACGGTGCCAGGCCTGCTGCGGGCGGTACCACAGCGCCACTTACTCTCTGCCTGTGTCCGGGTCGATCTGCCCCTCCTCCGGCTGCTGGGAGCGGTCGCCAGCCGCCGGCCGCTGTCGGTTCAGCGTCACGTACTGCCGCTGACCGCCGCCCGGCGCCGACTCCTGCTCTACGAGTGTCTCCTGCTCCTGCTCCTGCTCCTGCTCCTGCTCCGGTCCCGACTCTGTCGCCGACTGTGTTGGTCTCCTAAAACAGAAGGGATGGTGAGGTTTGGATGAGAGCGTTGTATGGGGCGAGAACGCTACCAGACGACAAGCGTAACGTATTTTGGGCCGGACCACGACGACCAATTTACTTGCTAGCCAAGCACCGACCCCCAGTTGAGCCGACACTACAATCCACTCCAGGCAAGGAACTCCATCAACGCTCGTCTTCGAGCGCAAGCCAGCACTAAACTGATGGACTGTCACGTCACGCTGTCGACACCTGGCTCGCCTCCCATTAAGCAGCATGGCCTGTCCGTTTGGTGTGTCCCCCGCTGCTCCGTCGCCTGCCCGGCGTGCGTGCTCACCTGTTCCTCTGGATGGTGGAGTACTGCGGCCGACGGCGGGCGTTGCTGCGCGTGCTGGTCGTCTCGGCGGCGTCGGCGGGCGCCTCCGCCTCCCGCTGGGCGGACGACGACGGCCGACGGCGGCGCGCGTTGCTCCTCGAGCCGGGCGTCACCGGGCTGGTCGCCTCCGGCTGGCGGCGGCGGGAGCTGGTGCCGGTGGACGCGGCCGGCCGGCGCCGGGAGGAGGAGCTGGGCCTCAGCCGGCTCCTCGAGCTGCCCCGCTCCGGCGCCGGCTTCGAGGAGGAGTCGGACGGCGAGGGTCGGGAGGAGGAGTTCGGCCGGCGGCGGGCGATGGACGTGTACCTGCGGGCCAGAGAACGCCAGGTCAGCCAGCGCCCACGACGTCAGCCTTGCAACGTACGCTGCCGTGCCGTGGTCTCCAGCACCATGGAGGATGGACAGGCCATTTGTGGAATTGGACATAGCGCCTATGTCGTGGTGTGGCTAACCTCGAAAAAGACGCCCTCCAACTTTTAGCCGGCGGCGGAACTTTCAGCTCCACCTAAGCACATCTAGAGTAAGCGGTACATATTGCTTTGAACGTTGATGCTTTGGTGCCCATACAAATGTCATTGCATGGGATGATAAGGTTGAAATGGACAGAGAGAAGGAGAGCGTGCATGTGATATGCTTTAGAGTACATAGAGGAAAAATAAGCGAAGCAAATATCCACCTCGCCCTCATGCCTACACCACGCCTCGGTGTTTCCTGAAATTGTGCATCATGATGAACGGAAACACAGATAGAACATCGGATGTTCACTGACTCAGGCTTGTTGTCCTGCTTCTGCTGTTCGCCGACGATCTTGTTGAGCGTCTTGCGCTCTTTGTCGCTGATCTGAGGGCTGGCTGGGTCACTGCTTCCCTCCAGCAGACGCTGGACCCCCTCCACACCGCCTGCGGCCCGCGCAGTCTGGTCAGAGGGTCAACTGCGGATGATTGGCCAGCTCTCCATGAACGCGGAGCGCCGCTTGGGTCGTGAGGAAGCACGGATGCTGGGCCAACAAGACAAGATAGACGATAGTGAAAATAGTTCGTGAAGTCGCAGAGCCGCCACAGCGTCTGCACTGAATGCACAGCGGCCCGAATGCGTGAATGCTGTCACATGCTGCCATACGTTTCCGTGACGCCCGTGCTCCACGTTACGCGAGCTTCCCACAGTGTTTGAGGGCGAGCTGCGCGACTGACCGATCTTCTGGATGAGTGAGAGCAACTGCTTCAGCTCGGCGGGGTCCGATTCCTCCTCCTGGGAGACCGCGTTGGCTTCAGACTTCACCGCAGTGGCGCCACCTCGGGAGCCGCCCAGAACCTGCCGGCAGGGAGGCGTCACCTCGTGAGTCACAAACAACCCGTGGGAATGACCGCCATCCCCTCGCGAACCTCCCAGAGCCTGCCGGCAGGGAGGCGTCACCTCGTAGTCACAAACAACCCGTGGGAATGGCAGCCATCCCCTCGGGAGCCGCCCAGAACGTGTCGGCAGGAGGCCGCCAACAACCCGTGGGAATGACCGCCGTCCCCTCGCGAACCTCCCAGAACCTGCCGGCAGGGAGGCGTCACCTCGTAGTCACCCACAACCCGTGGGAATGACCGCCATCCCCTTGTGAACCTCCCAACATCCGCAAACAGCTTTCGACACAGACACCAGGTGTACCTCCCACGGGAGCCAGCTGTCATGGCTGCACCACGTTGCATGACGTCTCTCCTAACACTGCCACCCTCCCAGCGGCCGCAGCCTGGCACTTACCTCCGGCGCAGGCCGACCGGCGCTGCTCGGCCGGGGCGCCACCGCCGTGTCGGGGAAGTCCAGGTCAAGCGGCGGCAGGTCGTCCGTGTCGTACTCGTCATAGTATTCGGCCAGCGGGTCCTCGGTGATCTCGACCGGCCCGGTCGGCGCCTTCGTGATGACCGGCTCTTTGGTAGGCGGGAACGTGATGGACGTCGCTTCCTTGGCCACCACCTGGGGGGGTCACACGGGTCATGGCGGAGCTCAACACGGGAAGCCCGCAGGGCTATGCAAGCGAGCAGATTCGCAGAGGTAGCGTCATCGAGAACCGTCCAGCCGTGGCGATGGTGGCAGAACAACAGCTGGGTGGAAAGCCGGATGAAAATGAGGGTAAAACGATAAAAGCAGACGGCTCAGATCGGCGATGTGGCTCACTCGACTCAAGGCACACTCAGCACGCTATCTTGCAAAAATGAATCACCTTATTGGTATGCGGATTAGGTAAAGATACCCTGGTGGTTGCCATCGGCCTGGCCGTGGGCTGGGAGACGCCGTAATCAAGCCTCTTCTCAGAATCCGCGCAGATTCGTCATCCAATGCACCTCCACCATCTCGCTTGAAAACATAGCGCGACCTCACCGCCGGCTTCGTCTTCCCTCCCCGTCCCCCCCCCCCACGCAGCACACACAGCCCCTCCGAAGCCCATCCCGCGACACCGCCTTTACCGACCTTGCACTTGACGTTCCTGGGGAAGTCGCATGAGTCGGTGCGCCTGTTGAAGAGCAAGCCGGACGGACAGGTGAAGCTGTGCGGCACGACGCCGAGCGGGCCGCCCGCCAGACACCAGAAGTACTTGTTGCACTCCTCCGGGTGGGGGAAGAAGCCCTCTCGCTTGCAGCTGAAGTCTGCGGCGGGGGCAGAGGGCACTGTCAAGGTCAAGGTACGCCATATCGCCGCGGACTAGTGGGAAATGGGCTGTGGCGCTGGGGAGCGGGCACGCATGGCTAAGGTCAGAGACAGCTTCGAGACGGGCGTTAAACGGGCGACCGTTTCATGCGCAGACGGTGGACAGACAGGCAGTAGGTTTCGCAAGGAGATAGATACTGAGCGCGGACGTCGTGGCCGCTGTGAACGTCGTGGTCGAGACGAAGCCATGACGCCAGCTAGTCACATGCTTGCCAGCCGGCGCCAGCGCCGTGTAATGTGACGGGATACTTTATCGATACCACCGCCACAGTCACGACAGCGGCGGCGAACGTCCGCTAGATGGCAGTTAGCGGCGGCGATCCCGACCGGCGGCGTCGAGCCGCTGACCCTTGCCCCCTGTGTGGTCACGTGGTGCAAGAGGCGCGCGCCGGTCGGCGGCCAGGTCGGCGACCCACCTGCCGTGGGGTCCGGGGTGACGGGCGGTGGCGGCGTCGGTCCCTTGGCCTGCTTCGGAGGAGCCCTGCAGTGGAGCGGTCACGTGGCTTAGCGCACGGCGGCTGGCGCCATTTTGTTTTTCGATAGCTTGGCCGACACACGTTGATGTTTCTCTCACAGACGCTCGCTGGGCGTCACACACAAGTGGTCATTATATATTTCCTCAAGGGGTTTTGTTTGCTGCCATATTGTGCGTTGTTTAGCTTTTTATCAACCCATTGAGGGTGCGCTGATCGTAGTCCTCTTGGCGCCCTAAACGTGGCTGATCTCGTGGCTTCTTCACATACCCAGCGAAGGCCACGCCGGGGCACACAGCAGACTCCTGACTCCCCCCCCCCCCCCCTCCCCACGACATCATCCTGTGCCTGGGCCGCATTCCCCATTACCAAACGCCGCACACAAGTAGCAACCTATGACGTCACAGGGTAAGTGCGTCAAAATAGTTCCTACGGCTGCAGGGATCATTGTGTGCGACGTAGTCACTTGCGCCGTCACAGGTAGCAACTCAGGCAGGTCCCTTGCCAACGGGGAACGCGACCCTGGCGGTCACCGTGCCGCGCACACTGACCCGGGCAGAGGAGCCAGATACGCCTCCTTGGCCGCCTCGATCAGTGGGTACGGCTTGCCCGAGCACCGGCCGCGGAAGTCGTCGTTGTCGATGGACCAGAACATGATGCCTCCCAGCCGGTTGTCGCGGACGTACTCCGCCTGTGGGACGGACACGGACGCGGTGTCAGAGATGGGACCAGAACATGATGCCTCCCAGCCGACTGTCGCGGACGTACTCCGCCTGTGGGACGGACACGGACGCGGTGTTAGAGGTGGGACCAGAACGTGACGCCTTCCAGGCGGTTGTCGCGCAATGACTCGCCTGATCGAGCGGACACTGTCAGAGCACGTACAAGTTCTGGCTACACAACGAACACTGCCACAACAAACTCAGTTTCGGCGACTTAGAACGACATGGACAGGTGACAGGGACTGCGTTGCTAGGCAACTATCGAAACGGAGTCCCCGCATTGAATGTTAATCATGAATCACTCGAGCTCCCTCCCAGCCTCACGTTCTCTGTGCTCGACGGATCGGACACAGAACACTCCGCGTGCCAGACGTTGCGTTTGTTCGTGACGTCACCCTCGGCTTGGTCTCATACGAATGCTGGTCGACTAATGCAACAGTTTCACCGTTCCACGCTGTGGCCGTACAGCTCCGATCAAACGCGACTCGACTTTCTATCAACAGATTTCGTCGGTGGCCGGTGAGAGCCGGCAGCAGTCGTCGGGGGCGGGCGGTGCCGTCGGCGGACGCGTCTTGGGTGGGATCGGCACGATCAGAGGCGGCCGCTCGAACCCGAGTTTAGGTAAGCGTGTCCTTGGCACACAGCCGCTCTGCTTGCTTTACGAGCCTACAGGTTAAGAGCTCGTGACAACCACTGCTGGCCAGAAACCTCGATGAGTCGCTCTGAACAACCGACCAGGTAGTGAATTCGCAGTGCACACTGTGCACTGGACTTCTCTCGACAGCACAGACGCTCTCTTTGACGTACGCCCCACGACGCCACTCAACACCCGTCTAGTAAAGTGACCAGATTACTCTCGGCCGGCGTATCCGCAGCAGCCGACTCGCTACAGACCCCCCGGCGCCTCCCAGGTGCTTACCTTCTTGCGGACCATGAACTCGTCATCGTAGCCGACCCATTGTTTGCCGAGGGTGGCATACGGTCCCATCTCCTCCGGGTAGGGCCGGAACACGCTCCACTCCTCCACCGCCACGTTCTCGCACACCTGTCGAGGTCAGGGCCGGGTCAGACAGTGTCCTCCCTTCCACCGGGGCGGGGAGAGGAGAGAAGACGGAGGGGGGGGGGGGGGGGCTCCCACACGCCCGTGGACACCGGGCCGGTCGGCGCGCTCCTCCAGCCATCAGCGTATCGGCGACACAACACGAGGATAGAGGCGGCTGACGGAAGCCGACCGGCGCGCTCGGATGCGCCGGCTGCGGGAGTCACGCAATCGACGTGGGGCGCGCGCACCACGTGAGGGGGGGCGACCAGGAGCGCGTCAGGAGACAAGCATCAACATGGGGTGCACGCACCACGTATAGGGCGACCAGGAGCGCGGAGGGGACACGCATCAAACATGGGGTGCCCGCACCACGTGAGAGGGGCGAACCAGGAGCGCGACAGGAGGCACGCATCAACATGGGGTGCACGCACCACGTGAGAGAGGCGACCAGGAGCGCGACAGGAGGCCTGGCATCCACATGGGGACGCGCGCACCACGTGAGAGAGAGGGCGACCAGGAGTTGCGACAGGGGACACGCATCAATATGGGACGCCGCGCCACCACGTGAGAGGGCGACCAGGAGTGCGGCAGGGGACACCGCATCAATATGGGACGCGCGCACCCGGTGACGAGGACCAACCAGGAGTGGGGACAGGAGTCGAGCGATTGCTATGCACGTCACTGTCCATCGCAACGTGCCGCGAATATCTGTGGGGAGCCGGGAGCGCTGAGGGGAGAGAGGGGCTCGCATTCACTGTTGGTTAGGCAAGGACGCCGGTGTTCGACACTTCAGACTCACCGAGGCTCGAGTCTAGTCAGTCACATAACCGGTGTCATTAGGCACTGAAAGCCCGGCGGGGCTATTCTCTGATCTCTCGATGCCCGCATGACTCGGTAACTCGGCGACTCGGCGCGAGACGCTGGGACGGAGGGCAAGCTCTGTCGACCCAGCTCTAGGACGGAGACCGGGCCGTCCACCCTCCTCTGCCCTGTGCCCATCGCCAACCTCGCTGTCAGTCAGACCTCGGCTGGAAAGCAGCTATGTAAGCCGGCGCCGGCGCAAGAGAGAGCGCAGTTTCGATCCCGCGAGAAAATCCGCGTCGCCCGCGGCGTCCGCGCCTCCTCCGTCCCGCACCTACGTCCGGCCGCGTCGAGTCGAGGCGGCCTCCCGCCGTTATCTCGCGTGTGCTCCACAAAGCCGGTTACGTTAACCCCGGTGCTGATGGATGCTGTTGTTGTGGGCACATCAACGCGCCCATAATCCGCTCGGTTCGTATGGGCGGTGATGGAGTCCAGTTTCGGCCCACACGCGAGAATGATGGGAGATAACAGCCACAAAGACCCAACTGGGGCGGACCGTACGGAGCTGGTTATGTACGGCAGCTCAAACATTACGTGACCCCATTACACGATAGCTATCAGTTCCGGAAGTAAGTCTCATGACAGATGACCTGCCATTTGCTACGCACATAGGTAGTGATAGCCCAAGTCTTGCTTTGCCAGAACGGCAGCACTTTGTCATGTTGCATAACCCGACAACCACCAATTGGAGGTAGCCCTTAGGCTCAGCCGAGTCGTGATGGCTAACCACGTCCCCCCTCCGTCATGCGATCATATCACCCCATCAGCGCGCCGTCCTACTGCCTCTTCCCCATCCGCCACTTTCGTGTGAAAGGCGCTGCAGTGTCTCTTCTTGCGACTTCGAGGTGTCAGCCACCTTCTTGCCTCGACGCCCGCCAGGCCGTACACGCCGGGCTTCACTTTCTCCGGTGCAGTTTTTCGCCGCCTCAGTTGACTCGTCCGGCGCGCTGACAAGACCGAGTGGGTGCCAGTTGCCACTGGCAGGCATGCCCCACCGCCGGGCTGTCGTCACC